AGGCGCAATGATACAACTATTTGAACTCTCCGGAATGCGTGAGGTATCACGCCGCATTTGAAGGCGTTTTCAAATCAGCCAAGTTCCGATACCCGGATTTTCGTTTTGCATAGTTCATATTCTTTTGTTATATTCCGTGCCACTTGTTTATTTTCAATTAGTTGTATCATTGCGCCGTAAGAATGTGACGGAAGATTTAAATGGAGATAGCCTCCATGCACGCTGGGCTTGCCGATTTCCTCTGAAATTTTTGCAGTGGTGAATGCATAGCTGAAGTGCGCTTCAGCTAGAATTGTATTTACAAATGGGTGATTTTTCTACGAGGATTAAAAATAACAAGTGAAATACAACAAAACAAATATAACAAAATAATATGAACTATGCAAAACGATTATTCCGATAACGCCTTCAAATGTAGCGTGATACCTCACGCATTCCAGAGAGTTCAAATAGTTGTATCTTTGCGCCGTCAGGATCGCCAAATCCCATCTCGGGCCCTGGTACCAGTTTTAAGGTCCGGGCCACAAGCACGGAGGGTGCGGGGTCCGAGGGGCATCCCTCGAGAAATTTTAGAATTTATACGACTAATCGGACGCATTTTGAAGCTTTCATAAAGAATTTTTTCATCAAATTCTGCGGAATAATTATGTTTTTTTTTCTACTTTCAGCACAAAAAACTTGCGAATGGTTGCATTCAAAACATCTGGAATTTTTTTTTTTTTTTGGGGGGGGGGGCATATGATTCTATTTTCAGTTCTAAGAGGGCCAGGCCCCCCTGGATTCCCCCTTCGTTTGTCTATGGCAAGGGAGTTGACCCATGAGCCATTGAAGTCGAGGATGCCCAGACTGGAGACTCTTAGCATCTGACGACGGAAGAAAATGAAACGCAGTTACTAAAAATTTATCCCTCTGTACTGAAAATCCTGAAAATAGATAGACATTTTCCAGGAAGTATACTTCTTTGAAAATTTAAGAAGAATTCTACAGTTCCCCAGCGTGTTTCTGAAAATCGTTTCACCTTTTGCGAAATTTTTAGGGTAAATTTTTCACTTTGTCTTACGAGACTATGGTTGCATGTGAATTCGTAGTGGTTTTTCACGGGTGACACGGGCCCCCTCCGGAGCCCGGGCCCCGGTACCAAGGACCCAGTATCCCCCCCCCCCTTGTGGCGGGCCTGCTCATGTGCATAGGGAAACTAATGGCACATACGTTGTTTTTGAACCGGGCTAGAATGCGTAGTTCCAAATTGCAAAATGTGGTCCAATTACATGCGAGAGTGCCCTCAATCTTGAAAAAAAGCGGAGGACTTCGCAAAGAGTCAAGTTGGACGCTCCCCTCCTAGCCTCGCGATCAAACAGGAGGGCGAATCGAATAATCTGAGCTGCGCGCTACAATTTACTTTCCCTTTCGTAAATTGTACGTCTGTTGATGAGCATCGCGTAAAACAGCGGAGAGCTGCTTTCGTTTTCGGTGAACTTGAACTTACCCGGGCGCCGAGCTGAGGTGGCGGGAGGGGTGCCAGAAACTGGGTCTCTGGGTCTCTCGTCGATTACGCACGTTGCTGGGTAGGTAGTTGCTTTACCGAAAAAGCATTGGCAAGCTGGCTGCGGAGAAGCACACTGCCGTGCTAAGGAAAAACGCCGTATGAACATTTGAGCGTTGCCCGTGTTGCATGTTCAAAATTGAAGGCACTTTCGCTTTTTTCACCTCTTCGAAAATGCATAGGAGTTGTTGTAACACATGTACACCCGAATAACACATGTACAGAAACTGTAGGTACTGTATCTCAATCCTTTTACTAGAAAAAAACCGCTCTCTGATTGGTCAACTTTCAGGCTTCCATGCATGGATTTTCTTTTCTTTCCAACTTTTGAAGCGATTTCTGAACAAATTGAATTTGATGGATATTCTCGCCGAGAACCATCCTTTTTCCGTTAGTATCATTCATCTCTCGCCCAATAAAACGAATTTATATTGATCGGATTTGTTTTCTCAGACACCGGGTTTGTACAAAAAAAAAAAAAAAAAAAAAANAAAAAAAAAAAAAAAAAAAAAAAAAAAAAAAAAAAAAAAAAAAAAAAAAAAAAAAAAACTTTATTTTTTATTAAAAAATCCTGAAATAAATTGAAAGAAATTAACCGTGAACTATTGATTTACGTAACCTTGATTTTTCTTTTTGTAGTTTTAGGTTGCTTCAAAAAACTCGAGAGAGATTCGTCAGAAATCCGTCAGTGGAGGACATTCGTCGGCTAAGGTATGGATTGCAACTAAAATTAATTATCGACGAGTTGGCGCAATTCATCGGCAGATTCAGCAATTTGGCAACGCCAGATTTCCTCCATTTACACCTATGGGAATGTATCGATTCTTGAGGGGGCCAGGTCTTCCCACAATAATCGATTATTTAGCATAGGTTTAAATGGAGGAATTCAGTGTGGCAAAATTGCTGGATCTGCCTCTGGCGCAATTTTTCGGACTTAAGACCGGCCAGTCCTACGAGAGCTACGCAATTTTGCCAACAGGACGCAACATCAGTGTGTCTGCTAAAACTGGCTGGCAGAAGTTGAATTCTTTTACAGTTCTTTCTCGGTACCTTTCCAAAAATTCAGTACCTCATAAGCAGAAAAATTTGGTACTTTTTCGGTTGATTTGAGTTCCTACTATTCAGTTATATTTCATTACCGCTTGTTTATTTTTCATTCTTCTATAAAAATCATCCATTTGCTGAATACAATCCTAGCTTGAAGCACACTTAAACTATGCGGTCAAAACTGCAATGACGGCAAAGAAAAACCGATAAGGCCAGCCTGGAGGCTACTTCAAAATTAATCTTCCATCGTCGCATTGCTAAGGCGCAATGATACAACTATTCGTACTCTCCGGAGAGTGTAAGGTATCACTCCACAATTGAAGGCGTTTTCAAAACCACCATCTCTCCATATCGGGATTTTTTTTGTCGCATAAATAGGTAGGGTGTCTACTAAAACTGGCTGACTACATTTTGAAATTAGGAACTATAAATTCTAGCCCGGTTTAAAAACAACGTAAGCGCCATTAGTTTCCCTATGCACATGAGTGTTTTTCCAGAAGAGCCAGAATTTATAGTTCCAAATTGCAAAATGCAGTCCAAATATTACTTAAAGTACGAGGGTCGTCCAGAAAGTAAGTTTACCTGTTCAATATATCCTAAATTAAGATAGGAAGAGAAAATCTGTAAAACGCGTTAAAAAGCCACTACTCTAGGCTCTCTAACGCGCTATAGATTTTTAAATTTGACCTGATAAAACTCTAAAAAAAAGGGGTTTTTCTGAACCTACCTCCTCTCAGGGCCAGATTTACCTATACTTGCCGCCCACGGGCCGCCTGTATTTTACCGCCCCCTTCTCATCCGTTTTGAAACATCAATAAAAACCATCAAGTGAACGTGCCGGAAGGGCAAGGGTGCATAAGACGCGTTTACCTACTCGTGTTGGATACATTTTTTGTGAAAGCCCTGTCGACACAACTAGCAAAATTTCACGGAACTTTGTGCGAAAGTTAAGTTCCATAAACCTATCACTGTGTGGCCAAGGCCTTCCACTTATAAGAAATGAACGAAAAAATTATGAAAGAACAAACATAAACGTGGTTTAATAATTTTAACTTCCGCCGCTGCGCCGCCACGATGATAGCACTGTGTTTGGCGCAATGGGTGAAGTATTCATGCAGTCTTGTAGGCGCTAATATGTGTTACATGCCGACCGCCGCGCAGAGGGCTTGTCCTTTTCATCTCAAGTACTCGTCATTATTCCTCTCTGCGTTGAGCTCCAGGCCAAATTGCGTGTTTAGTTCCTCTCTAAACTCGACTAATTAAAGATGCTATCTCTTGTATCACCGAAAAACGACAAAACTAAAAATTACTATACTCTCAGGAAAGAGAGATTTCGTCCCCTTTTGGGGACAATGAACCCGTGGCATGAAGCAACAAATTCCGGACCTTCAGAGGGAATTTCCGTACTATTTCAGAACTTCCGGACGGCCTTCAAATAAATAGCATTATTTTCGGACTTTCCGGACCAATAGACACCCTGAGCATGTATAAATGTGGTAAAGTAGTAGCTTATGCACTTAACATCTGATTCGTAAAGGTCAGGAACAGCTATCTTTGAACTTTAATATTATTACTGATATGTTTGGATCAATCGCTTTATGGTGTGTCCTAAATGTGATGAAAAATGTGTTCCTGTTTTTTTAATTTGGAACTGGCAAATGCCTATGAGAGGGAAAGCCAATTGTTTAAATGATGAATGATCAAGTTTACATCTTTTCGCCGCCAAATTTATAGATCCTGATGCTCACAAATAAAACAATTTTTCAGACAAGTGAATATTACTAACTTAAGTAAGGCTCATTTAAGGTTCCATTAGAGCTCAGTTGGACCAAGTTCATACTTTACTGTGCTTGATTTATTACTTGGGTATCACTGAGAAATAGGGAACTATTAAAATCGGGAGTTTTGAAAGAAAAAATATATGTGCAACAGCTAAGAACTGATGCCTTGTGTGATAGAAAGAGATGTATGCAAAATGACAAGAGAAAAAAACATTGATCGTGTGGTTGCAACAAGGAGCATACAGAGGCCACCTAGTAGTCAATTAAACTTCAAATCTACTCAAGTATTTTTGACCATTCTATAGGTGGGTCATTTTGGCTAAAGGTAGGTATTCCTTGGCTAAACACTGTTTAGCAGAAGCGAGCCATCTGTAGAAATGTCAAAGAAAAGGGTTCTATCTGCCTCAAACCGCCATCTTAACAGTTGAACATACAGTTTTAAAACTGGAACATGGCTTGAAGTAAAACCTCCCTCAAAACATTTATTCGACTTGATCTAGGTCAAATCTGTTCTAGGATTAGACAGGTTCTGTATTAAAAAAACTAAATGTAGAAGGTTCCATGTTGCTTAGTGACATCCATTTTTAACTTCAAGAGTACATTACAGGGAAAAAAATCACAAAACAAAATCAATGAATTTCACCGTTTTAATCGACTGATTTTAAAATAACAAATTTACGCAGGGAATAGTCAAAACTAATGCGCACATACCTATTGCCTGATGTACAAATATAAATTACTACTTGAAAAAAATAACTTTTGACAGGAACTCACTTAAAAATATACTTAAGGGCTAATATTTACAATTTCGACGATTAAAAAAATATTTGTTTTCTCCAAAAGAATAGACCATTTATGATCAAAGACACCACCGTAAGTCCTTAAATTGAAGACCTTCTTATAACTCCAAAATGTTTAATGGTTAAATGCATTTGGTGAATCCACATCTCTTACTGGCAAAGCTGAATGGGTGAAAATATCTAACCTACGGTAATAACTAAGCTTAACCGACAGGAAGAATAGTTCAGAATTGTTACACCTTAGTTTCCATGAATTTTATTTATGATTTATGAAATAGGGTAGACCTTTCCTCTTTTTACAACACATGAAGAAAATAAAGGATAAAATTAATGAAAATATTTCACTGACCAATTTTGTCTACATAATTTTGTAAGGAGAGCAATTCCAGAGATTTCAATTCAGCACATCACCAAGCAACATATTTATACATTTTAAATTTGAAGAAATTTTTGTCAGAAATTCCTGAAACTTCTCATGATTTATCAGGTATCAATATGAATTTGATCATGAAGAGGTTTTAAATAACTCCAAAAATATAGCCTTGGTGAATATGGCAACTCTAAAGCTATAATAATTAGAAATATTCACGCCAGCCATACTTCAATAGTAATTTCTGATCAATTGGACGGACTTAGAGAAAATCAGTCAAACTATATCAGATGTCGCCTAATTTTCTCTGAAGTTTTATTTTTTAACAAAAAACACAATAACATCCAATTGATTATCTCATGTTGTGCGTAGACACCTGGCGATTCACAGAAAAAAAGATTTAGAGGTTTTCTTATAAAATGTTTCAAATGTATGGAAACGCTACAAATACACCTGAAGAGGGAGTGACAACTCCAATCATTCCGCCAAAGTTGATGCTTGCTCAGACCATTATTATTCCTTAAATAGTAGCCAAGTAGTGAATATTTAACTATAAGTGAGTGTTGAAGAGAGAGAAAAGGTGCTTCGCTTAACATTTCTACTGGGATCAGAATTGATGATTAGGAGGAGAGCGTACCAATTCAGTAGAGATTTATCACCAAAAATTAATTTAAACAGTTACCACAAACCAATAAAAAATACATTTTTAAAAGACGATAAGAAAATTATTCAAAATGATAAGGACTAAATAACGGGGGTTTCCACTTCAAACATAATAATTCATCTTAGGAACCTTAAAAACCGCAAGGACAAGTTTAAAACATCATGCTACAGGAGACTCGCATTTAACTCACATGGTCATAAAACATATCAACAGAATTTCTGCCAAAAAAAGAGAGAAAAAACTAAAGACTAGCATTTTGAAATTATGACCGCATAGAGGGACATAAATAAAGGAAACAAAATGAAAATGTAACAGATCTGGAAAAATTCAAGCATTTAATATTGACCGAATTCAAAAACTGGCAGATCATTTTTGAGGTATCGTTTGAATACAAAGTCTTCATCAATTCAAAATTCTCCTGTTAATCAAAATGGACAAAGATTTAAAACAATGTTTCGATTTTATTGGAGCGGTTGATGAACAAGCTTGCAGTTTCCTAGAGGTAGAGGCTGATTAATGAAGTGAGAGAGGAGCAGAATACAGAGAGTAAAAAGGATTTTGAAAAAACAAAAATACAATCGTAGAAGAGTTAAAATAGATACACTCTTACTTCTATAAGTCGAAAATAATGACATGAATTTAAGCTTGAAGATCACGTCTGAAAAATGAATTTGGGCTCTAATAGCTTTCCAACAACATAAAATTATTTCTTCAGAATTTTATGAACTAAAATCGACAAAAAAGTGTTACAACGATGTTGCAGGGCATAAAATTAAATGCATGGGTTTCTTTGAGGTGAGTAACGGAAGCGGTAGAAAAATTTCATCAGAATTGAAAGAGGTAAAAACAATATTGACTGAGTGAGAGAGAGGGGGAAAAAAACTTTGTACATTGTTTCAAAATTTCTATGTGACATAAATAAATAATTTGATAGCAACTCATTAGTTACCACAATTGGAAAAATTTGCACTTGCAGAAACAGGTAGGTATTAAAACTAAGTACACAGATAAAAAATCACGCGAAGTCAGATGATACTTGCAAATGAGATCAAGAAAGGCTGTAACGCAAGCGATGCTTGTATAGCAATGAAACTTATAGAAAACCCATGAAAGGCTTGAAAGGTCCCATGATGCTAACATTACACTCTGTGCTGCGCTGATACCACGGTCGACCCAAAAAGTTTGATAACTACAAGCATGAGGAAAATGGTAATTTCTTTAATCAATGATCACCTGATGGTAAACCATTAAGTTGCTTCATTTCAACCGTTTTTGGGAAGAATATCAAAGACCGTAACTGAGGGCCGATCTCAAAAAAAAGACAGAGGAAATGAGAGAGAGGAATTAAGGCTTCAAAATGAGTGATGAAACTTAAAATTTACGCCCAGAATTTGTAGGTATTCTCATTCGTTTTACAAGAAATGGAATGTCCAAGTATTTGTTAAATTTGCCATTTGTGATAATTCCTTGACAGATATCTATTGATTTAAAATGTATGCCGGTTTATCTGCTGAAGAGTGAAAACAATAACAAAAAAATTAGCTATTTCTTTGAAAAAGATTAATTGCACTATTTTTTACTGCTAAATTGTCATAATTAAACATGAAAAATTCTGAACAAAAAAATTTTAAGATAGCTTCTATCCTGCTGACAACTGGAAGGTGATATTTTGCCGGGAGAAAGACAATTTTCACTCAGGTTAAAAGGCCAATTCACATACAATTTATTGATTCAACACTTTTAGCGATTTGATACTCTTCCAAAATGATCAGAAAAATATGACAATGTAGGCAATTACACACTTTTTCATAGAAGAAGTTAAAAAAGAGAAAAAAAGATTGACTTGCTTACTAAAGGGGATTTTTGGTACTGCTTGAGAGCCTTAATTCATTAAATTTGCCCCTGGTTTTATCTTTCCTCCTACATAGTCAAATATCGTTGAACACTGGTTACAGCCTTTCTGATAATATCTCATTTTCCGTATCCTCTCCTTTTGACAATAATTTAGACTTGAATCAGTCTCTTTAAATAGCTTTAAGACAAGATTGAAATAAGTGCCCGATCTAATGAGGAAAACTGAATTTAAGAACATAAACACCTATGACATGGTTAGACAACAGAAGTCGTTTTTTTAGAACGGTTTTAGTAGTTTTTGTTAAGGTTTGGATGTCATCATACAATTATAGCTAATTTGGATTTACATCGAATGACTTAACCTAAAATTAATATAACAAACAATTTCCTAATAAATGATTCTCTTCATAAGATCATGTTCACTTTTTCCTTCATTGATATTTGGCATGGAATACAGAGCTGAAAACCTCCTTTTCACCTCATTTTTCAAATGGAGCTTTTTGAGAGGGCAAATTAAACTTTCTCATCAACTCGTACAATGCTTAGATCATATTCGCTTCTGAAATTATACCCTAGTAATTGACCAGTTATGCACTTAATGCTATTGACCAGTTTTGAACGAGTATTCAATTTAGTTTTTGATGATTGTCAGGTCAATTTGTCATAGTTTTTAGTTTATTGCCAATGCTGAATAATTGGAATTTATGCAAATGAGAAGTATTATGCGAGACTGTTGATAATAAGGATCCACTTGTATGGATTAAAAATCCTTCAACCATACTTTCTCATTAACAGACTGGTCTTTCTCCAAAATAACTTTTGTTCTTCTTCTTATTTTCTTGTTTTCCAGACATCCAGCTCAAAAAAGCAACAGATAAATAATGGAGGTCCTGAAATGAATTTTCTTTCCTCTGATTACTTATGGAATCAGTTCAATGTTCCCAGAAGAATGAATGAATTCGGCAATTTTTTAAGAGAGGATATAGAAGTAGTTTTCTTCATTCCGCCCTGCCAAATCGTGGATTGATGGAATAAGGCAGGAAACGAGGAGGTGCAATTTGCCGGATGAGCTCTGGCAGGATTGCTATTAGCAGCGGTTGAGTGTTGCAGAGTGCACAGAAGCGCTGTAAGAGCGACACGTTCATTAGTTAGTTATAGAAGTAGTAGTGCATACATAATTTTAGCCCCTGCAAAATATTCTATCATACAATTGGGTCACAACAAGTCAAAAGGTAGGGGTAGGTCATTGAAGTTTTGATAGTCATTGGGAAATCTTCTTTGTCATGATACACTCGAAAAGACTATGAGCATCGTAGCCATGGATACACAACTGAATAGCTTAAGGAACGTTAGAAGCCATAGGGCTGTGATAATAGCTAACATGAATGGTAGTTTCAACTCATCTACACTGAAGATAGAATCATTCTGTATTTGTTTTCTAGTTCAAGTTTGAAAGCAAGAGTGAGTGAAAAAATGAGACTTAATATTTTACAAGAACTTAAATAAACTTAGACATTTTATAAAAATAGTTTGGTCCAAAAACTAAACCCTGAACAAACAGGTCATAAGAGAGAGGATTGGCCATTATAATCATTTACATCTACTGATGAACGAAAGCTTAAGAGACCCTGGAAACTCCTTGTGGGGATAAGTACCACGATCGATTTCCTATTTATTTCCCCATTAAACTCGTCTACGGATGCTGATTAAAAGTCATCATTGCGCCAACTTTCTACAAACCACTATTTCCGCACAATCTGCGGTGGACCTTTCCATAATTTCTTGAATAAATGAAGGCAGTGCAACAATGAAGAGTCAAAGAGATCCCTCATTTCAGGACTTGAGAACGGGTCAGCTGTGCAATCAAGGAAATCAGGAAAACCCTAGCTTGTTTACATATTTTGTTGTCAGCAGCCACTACTGTTGAACGGCAGTCTTATCTCAGATTGTGCGCAAACGGGGGCTTGAAGAAAGTTGGAGCAATGATGACTTTTAATCAGCATCCATAGACGAGTTGAATACAATAAAAAAATGGGAAATCAATCGTGGCACATATCCTCAAAAGGAGTTGGCAGGGTTGTTTAGAGAAAATGTTGAAAGAAATCATCCACTACTTGAAACAAATAAACGAATAAAAAAAAAAATATCACTCTCTACCATTTTCCAAGTGACAAAAAAACGAGAAACACTCAATTGAAATTTGGGCTGAATGAAAAAATCTTTCTGGACTACTTTATTCCGATGAAAGCTGTTTTAGAAAATTGATTCAAATAAAATTAATTGAGCTGAACTAATACAAGGTTTAAATGAGCGATGAATAATACGAAATGTAATTATTGGAGATTTGCTCCTGTGATCTTGAGCGTTTAAGGATATTTAAGCAAGATTTGATTTCAGTTTAGCCTAATGACTTTTGTTTCAAGTTAGAAAAACGAAGGAAAGGAAACAGGGCATTAATCCTCCAAATAGAGAATAAAAAATTTGCAGTGAAAAAAGAAACATTGCTCTTAACCATCAGTAGGACTTGATGGTCCCCTCACAACAAAACTTAGGGAAAGGGGAGATGTAAAGACAAGCAAGAGTTTGAGAGGAAAGAACATAGTAGTCTAAAAATAAGTGAGTATTGCAGTGAAGAGAGAAGGTGCAACTTTTTAATAACGAGCAAAAAGTCTGCAGATTAAGTGTAAGCCCAGGCACAGCTCATCAACAATGGGCCAGCAGCCTCTGTTGAAATGTTTTTTGCTGTAAGTTCTTTTACCTGCAATAAATAAACTGCCTACTCAATCATGATTTGGTGTCATTAAGCAGACAAGATCATTTATGTTAGTTTTTTGGAAAAAACAAAAAACTGTGCATAGTTTTCTAAGGCAGAAACAGGTTTCTTCAAAGCTAAGCATACATTGATATTGATTCTTTGATGACACCCTGTTGATGAGCTGCAACTTCCCATCTAGCTTGTATCTGTCACCGGGTAGAGATAGAATTGCAGTGTGATAAAATATAGTTTGAAAAGAAACCAGAAAAACTTGCTTGTTTTTCATTGACTTGATTTCTCTTGATTTTTCCAACAACCTCTCAATTTTAAATTGAATTATGATTCTAAGAAAATAATGTGAACCCTAATCAACCAAAAGCTACCCATTGATCTTAGAAATAATAAATGAAATAATTATATAATGGACATAGCTAGACAACATGAAAAAAAGATGCAGTAAAAGGAATCTAAGATTATTTTGCGTCACAGGTCGAGGAGGTATAAGGTAGGCACTTGATTTTTGAGGAAACTCTCCAGAGGTGTAGAATTGTTCCAGCATTGTTTCTTTCTCAACCCATCGGTCAAGGAGCCACTTGGAAAATGCCTCTTCTTCTTTTGGAACCTGAAACATTCATGAAGTAGTTACTAACACATGGATTCCTGTAGCCTAAGACATAGATTCTACGATGTCATTTTAATAATCTTAAGTGTATCAGTTTTATAAAAAAAATTGAATTCAATTTTGTGATACAGTCTCCACTGTAGGAGTTGCAAATTATAATGTTGGGGTTTCAGTTTTTGAAAATATTCTGGGAAAGTTCCTCCCCCCTCCCCCCATTTCCTCGGGCTAAGGAAAGAACCCCCTAAGACCCTCCTCTTAAGTTGATACTCCTATTGAACACCCATCAAATATGGTGAAGCAATGCCACTGAACGCTACATGGTGATTTCTTACGGAACTAACACTGAAAATGCACCCAAGTCAGTTGCTTTGTAAGGCAAAAAACCAATTTTTTTTTTTTTTTTTTTTTTTTTTTTTTTTTTTTTTTTTTTTATAGAGGAGAGATGTTTGCAGAAAATTATATCATTACTGGTGCTACATTTTTTATTTCATTTAAAAGGGGGGAAAAAGAGAATGAATTTGCAAAAAGAGGGATGGTAGGAAAAAATAATCTTACCTCAGATAAATGATATAGCCTATAGTACAGGAATGTTTGACAAGGGTCTCTATGTCCAAAGATAATGTGTGATAAGTCTATGGGACGTCCGCCAGGGTATCCTATCGTTATGTCTAGAATCCAGCTTAGAACATCTTCATTTGGATCTGAAAGCAAAACTAAGCATTTTAATGAGCTAGAATGGTAAATTACCCACACAACATATATTCTTAGAGAAAGTGGACAGGATGTTCACCGGAGGTTTGGATTGATTTTGAAGGATAGGAAGTAAACATTCACGTAAGGAACTTGACATATCTTAGAGGGAATTGCCTTTCGATCAGCTCAACGAAAAAGTTTACTTTGTCCCCATCAAAAATCCTACCTAGTGCTCTGAGATTCTGTACGTCATTCATGAGATATTTCCTAAAGAAGGCTTGGAAAATTAAGGTGTATAATGCAAAACTGAAGTCTGTCTTAACTCAGTCCAAACAAAACTGACATTCAATATTTTGCGAGCAACTCAAACAGAAACAAGAAATATGATAAACGCTTGATAACCTACATATGTTCAGTTTCTCTTTACAATGATTGTAAGTGTCAGTGACTGCATTTTTGCCTCAATCAATAGAAAGGCTGAGAAACAGTAAGTAGTGTCTCAAAGAGTCTAAAGTCACTTTCTTATGGAACAGTCTAGAGAGTTACGAATCTAAGTCTTAACAGATTCTGAAAGAAGTCATTCTCAGTCAGACATGGGAGACAAGTTTGAGAACACTCCTCTCTTTTAATTGGCCATTACCGATTGAATCACAATATAAGGGCTAGAATACAAAAACTAATATAAACTTTTCTACTTCCGCACAGTCTTCTCATGACTAACTTACAAATCAGCTCCAAGAAAATTTAGCCTATGTAACTGGAGTAACTACATGATTGAAAACTTTTGTAGGACTGTTATATGATATTTTATTAGTAATAACCATTGAGGAATCAATTGATGGGTTGGTGCATGATAAAGAATTAGAGGAAACAGATGTATGCAGTGGATGACCAGAGAAAGTGGGAAAAAAGAAAAGAAACAAGACAAACAATTAAAATCAATAAATTTTGAGGGCCTCCGATATAGAGCAAAAAAGAAAAATAGGACAGGAGAGGAAACAAAGGGGGGACAAACCAAAATATGAACTGAAGAAGAAACAAATGAATGGATACATTACGTCGCATGAAAGCAAAAACCTAGGAAACTGCTACCTACCCTAGAAAAAATTGGGGGTGGAAAAACAATAAAACTAAAATTCTATTTTCAACTTTCCATTGTACTTTAAACAGTTGAAAGCAAAAAAAAAACCAACCAGACTAACCTTTCATTGGACTGTTAGGATCTTTAATACATCCTGTGTCGGAGAACGACAACGGATCATGGTAGCGCTTTGCCAATTTTGCTCCTTGGGTAAGCCAAAAATATTAAAATATACATAATTTAAAAAATCAATTATGTACACAAGTTGGACAGTGGCAAACAATGGATCAGTTGCACTAGTCACAGAATCGTGTTTGATGCTCATTATTTTTAGATAAGCTAAAACTAGTAAGATCCATCCAAACAGGAACTTTCCATGTTCGATATGAACAGAGATATCGCACTTTGAAAAGCCAGGTTTTAGACATCACCCACCGCGGTAGTGACACACTTGGTTTCTTCCTCTTTTGTTCGATCAGTGATGCAGAGGGCCCATTGCTCAACTTCAACGACATTAAACATAAACACACGGTGGTAAACTGACTGATCGGCTAACCTCTTCGCGTCGAGGGCGTAATCTCCTGAGAAGAAGATCCTTGAAGTACGAATCCCTCTGTTTCTTGAGTTTGTTTATGTTTAATGTCGTTGAAGTTTCGCTTTGAGCCCTGTGCAATGTGCATCACTGCGCACTGACAGAATAACAGAGGTTGAAACCAAGTGTGCCACTACCGCGGTGGATGATGTCAAAAACACGACTTTTCAAAACGCAATACCTCATTTAATATTGAACGTAGAGAGTTGCTGTATAGACAGATCTTATTAGTTTAAATTAATCTATAGAAATCAAGCATCAAAATACGATTCTGCGATCAGCAAAACTGACCTATAACCAGCTTTTCTTCTTTGATGAGTGGGGATAGAAATGGACATTGAGGCCTCCCATGGCCTTAGAGGGACAGGAGTGCAGAAACTTATCAAATTGATAAAATGCAGATACATGCAAACATGGGGTACAATGCATGATTAAAGGAAGGAAACAGGTGTCAAATATAATATGTTTTAGATTTTACAGATTTTTCCTGACATTTTACATGATATTTCCTGATTTTTCACGTTACAAAATTGACACTCATTTGCTTTTACAAACATATTTATGAACTGAATCAAATGTTTCACTTTTCTAAGTGCTAAACTACATGTGGCTGAAAAATGCTTGATGCTATTAAAATTTCCTGATCTATGACTGATTTTCCTGATATTTTCAGGTTTTTTTTAACCGTAGACACCCTAAAAATTTTTAAAAGGACCTTTTTCCTTGAAATTGAAAAATTTCGGTGGGAGCATCCTGAAGATTGCAAATGTGACCATGAAGAAAAGTGCCGAAATATGAAAGAGTGCTTACGCTTACTTTGCAATACTAATTTTCTGCACCCCTGTTAAGGAATTGACACTTAAACTATGGTTTTCAAATCAACACAGCCACAGATTAACAGATAATTTGCCATGCAATCCAAACACAGTAGGATAATATGCTTCGTGAGTCCTGAATGTCTTTCTGTGTATCCTCTCAGAGGTACATGAAACAATAATTAAACTTTGTGGTACATTTCACATCATTCCTAGGGCTCATTCAGTCATAAACAATTCACATTTGAAGGTTGTAGACACCAATGACTAAAGCAGTGAGCCTTAGACTATTTTAGCCATAAAATCCAGCTATTTTAAATGTAAAGCTGACATTGCCTTAGGAAAAAAGGATATGATCCTTTGTCAGAAAACACTGCCTTCTTTTGATGAAACAATGACATTTTTTCTTCAGTCTTCTCTTTTGTATTTCATGACTAATTCATCAAAATCATTAGGGAAGCCACTTGGAGAAGCATGCTAGGACGCAGGAATTCTCTTTTCCAATTAACCTTCTCATTTTGAAAATCCTTTATCTTTCTGATTTTTTTCATGGTACAGTGGCCATTTTCTTTTTCTTTTTTTCGCTCTGTACTTAAAATTATCCAAAACTTGGGAAATATCACTAAAGTGAACCTGCCTTTCTGCTTCACACTCAAAACCCCTTTTCAGTCTTCCCATTTGTGCGTTTCACTTGCAGGTTCCGCGGTCGAGAAGTTTCTTACATCCCTGCACCAATGGTAAAAACTGCCATTCTTCTTTTGGACTCAACTGACAATGTGTCAAATAGGATTTGCAGGAAGAAATGGTGCTTTTCAAAAGAAAGCATTGAAGCAAACAGTCTAATCAAGCATTATTTTGGGATAAGTAAGGTGAGAATCTTGGCTTTGGCGCAAAAGAGAATAATGAAGAATGATGATCTCACATTTAAGGACATTTCATTCAACTCAGGTTGAATGATCAGGGCAACTGAACGGAACAAAGCCACACTACTTCATCGATATATACTTGGAAATAAAGGACAACCAATGTTAGATTAACAGCAGCAGAACATCATAGATGGACTGACAAAGTACAACTCATGTGACTCATGTACCGTCTTTGGAAAATGAGTAAATCAAATTGAGTTGTGTTTTTAACATTTTTATTACTGCAGATGAACAGATGCATTTTCTAGGTTACACACTTCATATACTATGCATGTACATATTTGTTTCACCGCTGCGCAATTAAATTTTCGCTTCACTATCCTAAATGTTGATGGAATGAGATTGGTGATATAAGCTACCTAATAATGAAGATATGGACTAAAATTCAGCGTATTCACATCAGAGAGTAAGCATGTTGCTGCATTACAGGCTCTCTTCAAAGTCAAACCTGATCTCGGCGTTCACTAATAGCAGGAGTAAGCTTAATTTCAAGAAATATATAAATTTATATTTAGACAAAGAACTCAACAGAAATAAAACTGTTTTGTGTTCGTCTTGATTAAAATATTTTCCTGAATCTGTAATTAGTTCAGAAGATATGTAGTACTAAAACAGGAAAAACATAAAAACTCACCACGATATTCAAAATCAGAGCCAAATTTGTTATTGTTTGCTGTTGGTTGTTCCGATTCTTCTTTGTGCGTTGCAAGCTCATCCATTATAGCACGAATTGCACCCATGCGTGGAATTGTTACATGCTCTAGATGTGGTAAATTATTCTTAATTGCATACCTGAGGAAGAAAAAATTAAGAAAGCAATACTGTAAAAATTTTTGTCACAATCCTGCAATTTGAAAATTTTCTAATTTATCTCCCAATCTTATTACAAAGTATATGTGCAAGTAACATGTCAAAATTGGAGCATCTACCCCATCTGCTTTTTAAATTGTTTTTAAAGTCAAAAATTCAAATTTTTCCAGTTCAACACTTTAAGTTTCAGCTTTTGTACAATCTGATCATAAATCACAAACATTTTAAAACTAATTGAATACTTATTTATTTATTTATCTATTCATAGTATCAACGGGTCATGAGGAAACATTAGTAAGAGAATATTATCAACACAAAGACAGCAATAAGGTCGAGATAACCTTTGATGATACAAACATAAATAAAAACTAGAATACAATAATAAGGTAACAAAGTAACAAATTTTTTTTTTGTTGTAAATTCAATTAAAATATTCCACCAAGAAAACCATTCCATAAGTTTACGATTAAAATCAGACTGGATAGTAAAGTATGCTTTGGCAAAGCTGCAAAGAAAAATTAAAACTTGATTAAAAACTCCTTTTAACACTTAGAAAAGGTAAAGAATAAAAAAATACACAAAAATGCGATACCTCTGACTTGTCTCTTTCCGCTTCCGCAGAAATCCGCCCTCTGGAAACAAGACCATCAATTTCCGTTTTAGAGGTAGGTAAGACTCACGCAGATGTTTCCGTAATAGAAGTATTCCTTGATCTCGTTGGCTTTTACCCTGGATAAATAAAAATAAGTTTGTAATCAGTTTGTCACAGGCAATGATAATTTTTTCACTCGTTACATTGTTAAAGTCAAGATACTTTCTTTTGAGAAGAGTCTCTAAAAAATGTTGCTACTTGGAATTTTTAAGGAGACATAGTAAAGTTTGAATGTTTGATTGAAGAAACAGGGAGGAGATAATTTACTAAATTAACCTTTTAGTTATTTAATGGATTACCAGTCTAAGTCCGTTGAATAAAATAGAGGTCCTAATAAAATCCAGTGAATTGATTTCACTCAAACCATTATAGCGTCTTTGTCCCCTGTGATTTGAAAAGATCAGCCGATGTGGACCCTGGAATTTGCTTGAGACACTTTGAAGCCTATTCTGCGAGAGGATCATGAGGGATCAGTGAAAAAATGATATGTTAAAGAATGTAAAAGAGGAAAAAAAAAGGTGTCATACAGTCGAAAAAACGAATGCTATCAGCATCAACCTCACTAAGGGTAGTTTTTATATACTTCTTTTTTTAGAGAAAAAGATGGAGAAAAAAGAAAAAAAAAAATTTTAATATTTGAGATGGATGTTGGAAATTGGAGTAAGTCTACATTTTTACAACACAAACAATTCTTACCGATAGAATAAAATGGTCCTCATGTACAACAGATACAATACCAAAATTGGTGAACTTAAATACGTAGTCCATGATCCACATGACAGATGGTAAAACTTTGGGTTTTGGATTTAATGTCGCCATCATCATTGGGACGTCCCCTGTGGACTGATGGTTGACTAGAACTAGAGTTCGATCTTCTAGACAGTGTCTTATGTCATCGCCCATTTCAACAACTGAAAAAGCACAGAAAAAGACATGACTGAGGGGAAAAATTTAAAAAAACACCTAAAACAAAACAAAATTCACTTGAGCAAAGTACATTTCATGAACTCAGTGGTGCGGATGGTTGGCATAGCTCGATGAACAACACTTGAAGTACATAATATACTATTCTTTATTAAAGTAAGCTTACATGGTGAAGGTGCTAAGAGACTCAGTCTAGAGACTGGGTGAGTTGATATGTATGCAGGTAAGATGATGAGTACGTACGTAAGATGACGAGGAGTACAAATACATATATAAAGTGGTCAAAGCAATATCAATATTGATAATCAAATGATTAGCAGCGATGACATAGGGTATCATTACAAGTCATAATCCTGGTTTTTCCGAAATAAAGTGAAATACTAGCAGCTAAATTAGTGTTTGTTTATTTATTTAAACCTTATTGATTGGAAAAATCTATCTCCTTTTTCGGAAATTTTTTTTAAAATTTTTCGGACCCAGAGGCAAATTTCCAGAGTGCTTATTTACATTCTGCTCATATTCTAGACCAGCTGGCGCTCTGCTCCCTGATGTTTGATGAAATTCCAGTGAAAAATCTGCTTATGAAGATCATAGATCAATAAGGTTATTAATTCTTGAAAATTATCTTAGGATTTTTCCATGATGTACTTATGCAGAAAATTACTTACTGTGATAGCCTGCAGACCAACTCCACAGTGTTACCATGGACAGTAACCAATGAAAGAAGAATCCCTCTATCCTCCAATATAGGGCGGGATGATACTTCTTCAGGGGTAAAATTAAGAGCATCCATATGCAATAGGTTGGTATACAATAGATGTTGTTCACGATCACAAAAGCCAATCGCAGCAAAGCTTTTAGGAAAATATATATTGATCGGCTGGAATTGGAAACAAAGGCAACATGAAAAAAAAAATTGTTACAATTGATTTAAATTATATCTATGAACTAGACTTTCAAAGAATGAGGTTACAATGAGGATTATTGGAAAATTTTGACAAATGCACCAATGATCCTAATTTCATATCTCTTATAGGTACTTTTGCGGTTGAAGTTCTGTAAAAAAACTGCCATTTTTGTTGTGTAGCTTTCAAATTCACAATAGTAACTGCATTGATGGGAACATGATTTGATAAAAAAAACCAGACTAAAAATTATTCCTGGTTTTTTTGGGCAACTTCCTGAATTATTGAGTTATTTACACCTGTAATCAGAGTGGAGTTTTTCTATTAAAAATCTTCCTGAAAGCCCTCATGTCCATGGGGGGTCAATTAGTTTCATGAACTATTGCACAAAATCTGCATAATTTGCCTTCTTTCTGGAGATCTTTTGCAGATTTACTAATAGCTGAATTTACGTTAATTTTTTAATTGTTGGAGGATATTGTTGAGGGAATCATCAATTATCATTACTAGATCTGTTGAGGAACATACCTGGGTAACCAAAGAATGCCTGGGAAAGTATTTAAGACACTCAATAGCATTGTTCTGATTTATCAGAATAACAGTGACTCAAGCCTTGACTGATCTCACATACCAGTTAGAGGAGAAAGTGCAGGGAGAGGACATTCAGATTGGTACGGAATGCAGAGGAAGGTAGATGGTTGACTTAGAAAAGGAGGAGGAAATGAGGGCACATAGATTAGGTACATCGTTTAGGATAGACCAGCACAAAACCAAAGCAATTTATATTCTTTCCATTGAGAACAAAATCGGGATATGTTGCAATTTTATCGGCGCTAAAATTGCTAGGATCATCAACATCTGAGCAATTATCCTCGATCTTATCCAGATAAAATTGCGCTTTTATCGCCCGGCAATTAATCACAATATTTTTTAGATAAAAATCACGATTAATGGCGATTTAATTTTGATTTTATCGACGAAATTTGATCGCGATCATCGAACCAAAAATTGCAATATGGAGCAATTTAATTGCCATATATTGCAATTTTTAGTGCGATAATACCTTGATATATTGCCACCGATAAAATCGCTATTTATCACGATCACTGCTAATTGGGCATCGGTAAATTCTAAAAAATTAATCCCCATCATTAAATTAATAATTTTTGGTGAAGTATCTAGACCCATGACTTCAGTCACGGGCTTTTCGCTAGCTTCATATAAATGATGGAAATTCAGAACGACAACAGAAGCTTTCTAATTGAAGCTCCACTTCAAGAACAGCAGACCATAAGACCCAGATTTCCTGCTTCCTCAGTAAAAATTTGATCCTATTCTACGTAATTTTCTATATTGTGACAGCTAACTTTTACTTTATTAGAATTTCATACCCCTATATTCAACGTTATTTATCTCAGAATTGAGCAAAAGTTGAAAGAAATGTAAATATCTATACATTCAAGAGGTGGATTTTGAAATTTCATTCAATATCTCTTTCATTGGACGTCTCAAATTTTTCCCCCTTTCTACTTCTTAGGAAATATAGTTTCAAAGCAGGGCCCATGAGAGCAATAAAAAAGAATATTGACAACAATGCTTCATGAGGTAAATGAATAGCCACTAGTCAAGGTACGAATTTAGGCATTCTGATAAATGTTTCCTCTGTAAAATTTAAAGTCAAACACTATTTGTGCAAAGAAAATTACTAAAATTAACTCTTAACCAAGCTTCTAAAGTGCTAGTTAGCACTACTTACAAAAAATTTGAATTGATGACAAACCAGAGCATGCGTGAATTAAAAGGCGCACTACAGATTTTGGGGGCATCTTAATGGAGCAGTGTTTTTTCTCATCCCTGTGTTGTTCAAACAACATGGAGAAGCCGAGCCGAAGCGCTGATTTTGCAATTGCCGTATTTTTATACCAGAGAGACTGTTAGGGGGGACTGCAAGGGGTGGAGGAGGAGATCAGAAGGTGCCAATTGCCTGATGATCTCTGGGAGGATAGGGGGCAATGGCGATTGGGCGTCGCAGAGCGCGAGGCGGCGCTATAAAAGCAACTTTATGTATGTAGACTGTTAGGGTATTCAATTCGTGTAGAGTATGGTTTTTTTTATGAATGGGAAGTTTGAGTTTATGCATTGAAAAAAACATTAATAATTTTGTGAGGAGTGACTTCCAGTAATCTTTGTTGTACAAATCGTCTACGGTGCGAAGTTCATCTGAGAAGACATACATCATAATGCTTAAATTTGCACCTTGTCTTGTGGTCCATGGGAATTTAATCCTTAATTACAATTTTAATCATTTGAAAACTTTATGTTTATACTTATTTCATCGATCATAGAAAACTTGATACACTTACAAAATATTCATTTTTCCATTCAGCGATTAGTTTCTTGGAATATAAAAGAGGTACTCATGTATTGAAGCAGTTCTAAAACAAAAAGAGATAAGAGGTCAAGACATGAGTAAAAATAAATGTTGTTAGAAGTTAGTTACAAAAAAAGGACACAAACATGATAATGTTATTCCTTGATCACACAGCAGCCTTCAGAATATGAAAGATAAGAATCTGCTCGTCAACAGTCCGATGGATGGCCTTCATAAAAGAACACAATACTTTGTGTCCTTCCAGAAATAACATACTTGCTGTTGATTATCTTACATCAATGAGTAATAAGGAGAATGCATCAAGAACATTCGTCTCTTGACAGATCTCAAGAACACTCGACTATTATGTCTCAGAATAATGTAAACAGTAATGTTCATAGCATCTATAATTGCTGGTGTAACAGCCACAGCCGATGAAGTTTAGGACTAAGTACAGTTCATAGAGACAGTGAAGTGTCAAACTGGGTAGTAATCCGACAAAATCAAGTCCTGCTTGACCTAACCTAAAATTATATCATTCATTATAGGAGGTAAAGATCTATGAAATTTAGACAAGGAAGGTCTTACTCGTACGCATCCAATAGAAGCTAGACAAGACACAGTAATTTGTAGTCCATGATCGGATTTATCTTTTATTTCATGATAGCTGGTAACATACCGTATAGATTAAAGTACATGCTAAGTAACTGCCATTACTGAAAAGTTCGAGTACTTAGTAGGAGAGTAAGGTCAGATTATGAGTTCAAGAGGCTATTTGTAAAACTTTTATAGGTACATTGCATATTCAATGGATTAAAATAATTACCCGAAGTAAGTCCATCAAGGGAATTATCCCATTAGAGGTGTCACTGGTGAAACATGGATCTGAGCTGATAGGTTGAACTTATGAACTTTGGCCACTAAAAATTTTTTAGAAATACCCGGAGACAACTTAAGGGTGATGATCGTAGATGATATAGATAGAGGAAGACCATTCGCAAACGGCAGAAATAAGGAGAGTTCAAGAACAGTCGATTTACATTCGTTATTAGCATTTGCGGCCATGCCAAGAAAAACAACACTTATCACATGATCTGACAGAAGCGCGGGACGAACATGTCGCTTTAGATTCACGTGACCTCTCTTTGACGTCCTTTAGCACTCAATAGTGATTGGAGGTAAGCAAGTCGTCCAGAGTGTGACGTAAGTCAGTTCCCTGACGTGATTGGTTTCTTGATCGAACAGCTTTGTGCAATGACTGCAAATTTTGCCTCTATTTCGTGCACCTTATCACGACAAAAAGATCTTTGTGCATGCCCTTTTCTTCAGGGTTTTCCCCTTCATGAGGTGTATTTTCTTGACTGGAATGGGATACGAACATTTTCCGAACGCGCCCGATAATGCTGCAAATTGATTGCGCTAGTTTTACTTATAATGAATTTTTTTTACATCAATGCATTTTGTCTACATATGTAGACAAAATGCAATCCTGCCAAGCTACTAACTATCCCAACTACATGGATAAACTGCCATCAAACACTGTACATTTGCAGAAAAATTAACGAAAATGTAATCCTAATTGATCAGATTTACATGGTTTATTGTATGCCAGAAGAAAAGGAAGTTTATTCGGTGCAGTCAGCTTCCGCGGTCTTTTTTGCACTTCAGACACGTTTGGGTTCACGTTCATGAGACCATTTAGCCATTTACCAACAAGCCTGATTTCCCAGGACACTTAAATCTGTAAATGGCCGCATGATGTGGTAAACTGATGCAAATTTCTCGCTGAAATGTGGATAAATTTCTCTTTAAAATACCGAGAATACATAATGGGGCGGCTGAGACTCCGCAGTTGAAATCCGCGCCATTCCGCGCCTACAAGCGGCGTTTTTTCAAGCTGCATTGTGATTGGCGCATGCATCTACCTCTTATCAGCTCAAGGCTGTTATCACTTATCAGTGTTATTATTGGGTTTTGCACGGTTCTTGCGAAGGGATTTGTCTCTCTCTTTCTCTCTTTCTCTTGCCTTAGGTGCTCCGACTAACCTCGTCGCCGTATATTGTTGTTGTGGGCCGAACCGAAGGAGTGGGGAAGGTCGTTCGTGTCTTCAATAACTGTGATTTCATAATCCCCTTTTCTCCCAAGTATTGCTTTCAACTGTATTAACACCATGGCATCCGGCATTATTCAGCTATCCCGGCTTGGGAGGAGAGGAGCTAGACGAACGCTCGTGGACAAATACCTTTTATCTGTCACCAAATTTTCAACCTCTGCCATGAATCAGGTAAAAAGATTCTTTACTGACATGAGCATCCTTGTTAAAATTACATTACAATTGCAATTATATTGTCGGTCTCAATGAATAACCTAGTTTCTACAACTGCTATCCTGTTTAATTTTTCTAGGTGTGTCCACTTGACACTATTCACTTAGACCCGCGGCTCAACTAACAAGCCGCTCCATAGTAGATTCTCTCTACAGAGAACACATGTATGACACTTATCTAAAAGTAAGTTTTGTAACAGTATGTTGATGGATGAGGAGCTAAAATTTTGATGAGCTTGTGTTCCATGTTTGTTTACAGGACTCATATAGAAGTTGAGCAGCTGTTGTGCCGCCGGAGTAATCGCTACTCCAAAGTACTGTGTATTATTGTGTCTTTTTTTTCACCAATGTCGAGAATAATTTATAGTGGCAGATAGGCTGTAGAATAAAAATTCTGGGATCGTAGAAATAGAGCTCAAAGCACCTTTGAAGCCTTGAGAAGGATGTCAAAATTAATTAGTGTAAAGTTGGACGAAACTTGGTGCCTTATTCCTTTTGTGTTTTTTTTTCCAGCAAAAGGTCAGAAAGGAATCTGACACCTTCGGGGAGTTGGAAGTTCCTGCTGATAAATACTATGGGGCACAAACTGTTCGCTCAACAATGAACTTTCCAATCGGTGGAACCACAGAAAGAATGCCCGTAAGTATCAGTATAGATTTACCCTCTTATCTTCAGATATTTTCTTGTTATTAAATTGTTATCAGTTCATCACAAATGATTCTATGAAAATAGTTTATACTAATTTTCACCAGTCCCACCAATTGCATCTTATAAATCATTGCAAATCTGAATCAAAAGATGTGTCTGAGCATTATCTCTTTTCCTTTCCTTACTCTCTTGCAATTATCCACTCTGTTTAAAGCTGCGGATAAAAATCTTGAGCAATTAAATTATGCCATGTCCTATTAAGGTATCAAACATAAATTGTATCGTGTTTAATTTTTTTCTTTTCAGGAAGCAGTCATCAAAGCTATGGGGCTATTGAAAAAAGCAGCTGCTCTTGTCAATAAAGATTATGGTCTTGATCCGAAAATAGCTGATGCCATCGCCAAAGCTGCAAATGAAGTTATCAGTGGACAGCTGTATGAAGAGCATTTCCCCCTCGTTATCTGGCAAACTGGATCTGGCACTCAAACTAATATGAATACCAATGAGGTAAAGATCAATAGAGGGGCTTGAAAGACAAGTGGGATAAGTGCAGTTTTCCCTATTTCAAGAAATATATGTGTAAAGTTTTAAAATTACATGGAGTTCTATACCAGAAAAAGAGCTCAAACTCAAGTTTTGATACTTAAGGTGATTCGACGGACGCCATTTTTTCTGTCAGAGCGACGTGCAATGTATCGCGGCAATTCGTTCCATAATTTCAGCTACTTGTCATTTTTCCAAATTTTAAGATCGCACATCTGTTGTCTTGAGACTGAGAAATTCATGTACCAAATTTGACCAAGAAATTCAGGCAGGGTTTTTTTAGAAGAAAAAAATCGCATTCAAGTGCAGTTTCGATGTCAGTATTGAATGCAATATTTTTTCTCTAAAAAAACCCTGCCTGTATTACTCTGAATTTCTTAGTCAAATTTGGTACATGAATTGTTGAGCTTCAAGACAACAGAAGTGCGATCTCAACATTAAAAAAAAATGACAAGTAGCTGAAATTATGGAACGAGTGGACGCGATATATTGCATGTTGCTCTGACACAAAAAATGGCGTCTGTCAAATCACCTTAAAAATTGTATTTTAGCAGTTAATTTTTCACCCCGCATACTTGAAAAAAACTATAATATGTTGAGATCGTTACAATCTCAATTTTTTCAAGAACTACACTTATCCCTCTAGTCTCTAGCCCCTCAACAAAAAGAATGAAGAGCTTGACGGTCTTTCATTTCATGATCCAAAAGATTGCACAAAAATAATGGAGTATTCCAGGAATTAATCTTTTTTTTCTTTCTTTTCCTGCACCGTTATCAAATTTCAAGCATACTTTGTGTCTCTTTTTTTCTGAAATAAAATTACTTGAATGCAGTGATTGTTTTGCAAAGCTCAAGCAAGCATGCTGTGCCATTTTGCCAGACATCCTGTACTGACTTTCCGAGACAGATTTTTCTTCTTAAAGATCAATCGAAACGTCATTAACGAGAATTTTGCATTATCTTTACCAGAGTACATGTTATAGTGAGTAATGAGTTATTACCTCCTAATCATCAAAAAAAGCTGAGTAGTTGTATTATTCTCTAATGGCTATTTCCGAGGACAAAGCTTCCATCTCAGAGCATTGAGTGTTTTTTTTTTTCTGGACAGGAAAAACAGCAAAAGAAATGTAAAATGCGAAAAATAAATAATTATAAATTAGCGAAATGGCCATCGTTAAGTAATACAACAACACTACTTTTTTTCGGTACTCAAGAGGTAAGTAAGAGCGCTTCAATTATTAGGTATGAAATTTTATTCTTTGAGAGTAAAAGTAATTGTTCTCATTGATGTCAGTTGTTGTTTGTGGTCATCACAGCACAATCATTGTTTCGTTTTATTGGAACCATCAAAAACTGTCAGAGCATTGTTTGTCAATCAAGCTCCTTAATAAGCGAGATCATCATCAGTGGCATCAGTAGGTGTAATTTTTATCCAAAGTGAGTCTATGGAATCTTGGTTTTGATATTTTCCTAGTCTTTTCTGTTCTATAAGCTAATCATGATGCATGTATGACACAACCATCAATAATTGCTGAGTGATGGCATCAAATGGCGACTGATAGTGAAATAACAGAGCACGAAAGATTGATTTAAGAATAAGACTATAAGACAACAATAACAATAGTAGTGTTAGATTAAAAGGACAATAGCAAGTTGTTATGAGTGAGCTGTGAATGATCTGTAGGATGGTAAAACATAAAGAGCAAGTTGAGACCGTTTCCTCCAAGACAGCATTCTTGCCCATTGTTTATAAGATGCTTTGTTCAAAGAGAAAAAGGAATAGCAAGATAAGAATCTATAGTGCTTTTGCCATGATTTAATCACCGCCTGAACTTGAGCAGTAACGTGACTAATCTTTTACTGATATTCAGAGTTAAATATCTTAAAAACAGCACATGGAATCTCGAAATGTCTGATGGATCCCTGGCTGAATATGAGAAGAAGAAAGTTTTATCTTTGATTTTAAGACATCCCATGAGGGGTTAGCAACCAAAGACCAAGCTGAACATTAAAGATACAATGGTAAACATTTTTCTTCAGACTTCAGACAGCGATAGAAAATGAAGAAGGAAAATAGTTTAAAGTTTTAGATAAACTAGTTAATGAGTTGAGTTTCCAAAATCAAATTATATTTGTGGTTGGACATAAATACATGAAGCAAATTTATTTAAATTGATTTTTTGCAGGTTATTAGCAACAGAGCAATTGAAATCTTGGGAGGACAACTGGGCTCTAAAACTCCAGTTCATCCAAACGATCATGTCAACAAAAGCCAAAGCTCAAATGACACATTCCCCACGGCTATGCACATTGCTGTTGCAGTTGAAATCAACTCTAGCTTATTGCCGAGCTTACAGTTGCTCCATGATGCTTTGCAAAAGAAATCTGTTGAATTTGATAAAATCATCAAAATTGGAAGGACTCACACTCAGGTATCCAACGTCTAATGAATTATGCCCTAAGAGTTTTAAATTGTTATCCTCATCCCTTTTCCTTTGTTCCTTCTCCTTTCGTTGATACAGATTTATTTCTTTTCATTGAGTCCATCAAATATCTGCCAATATGTTTTGATAGCATTCAGTAAAATTTTTAGGGCACTCAACTGTCAACAAAACCAATGAGCAATAACAAACTAAAATTAGGAGAAGACCTTAAATCTTTACTATACTAAATTGGAGTTACCAAAGAATGCTTTATAAAATGGCACTGTTCTTTGCGCCTTTCTCTGAGACACTTTCTCTTGTGGTCTATCTGTTTAATTTCTCACAGCCCTAGCTTTGAATTTGAACTGAAATTCTCCAGAGTTTATAACTTTTTACATTTGTCTCTCAAGAAACAGCTGAACGAAATAGCTACTCAAAATGCTAATTGATGAATAACTTAAATTTAGTTTGGATCCTTATGCGTACAAAACAGGGTCGTAAAAATTGTAAGAATATTGCTGTCGGAACTTACTGGTTTTTTTTTTATTTTTTTTTTTTTTTTTTTTTTGGGGGGGGGGGGGCAATATTTGATGGATTAAAAATTGATCAAGGCTATCAACCCACTTTTATTGGTTGTAATGTTTTCCGGTTGTGGGCATTTTAATTTCTGAATTTGTTTTCTCAGGATGCTACTCCATTGACTCTTGGTCAGGAATTCAGTGGCTATGTACAACAAATTGCATTTGGTATTGAACGAGTCAAGGATACTCTGCCGCGACTTTATAATCTTGCAATTGGAGGTACAGCTGTCGGAACAGGCTTAAACACCCGCATTGGCTTTGCCGAAAAATGCGCCTCCAAAATCAGCGAATTGACAAGTAAGTGTTGAAGTTTGTCCTCCAGTCTGTAATCTGACAATTTTATGCAGAAGGAGTCTACTGATCTGGTAGAGAATCGATACCCTACTCTTTTGCATTACTTAATACATCATCCAATTTTTTTCAGTGTGTCAGAATTTACAGGCTTGTCTCACATGAACCATTTCTTATTAGAAAGGACTAACATCATTGTTACTTCAACATATAGTTTTGAAGTTGCACTTACCTATTTTCAAAATCAAACCATGTTCACAACTACTTACTACCTATAAAACTTAATTTTGAGAAAATTACTTTTTACCACAATTGACAATTTTCCCTTGCCTAACTGATACTTGATTTCAATTGAGAAAAACTAGGTAATTGTGTAATGATAAATTTAAATTGGACTACTTTTTGTAATGATGAACTACCCACTATTATTAATTCATTCATGAAAGTGCCATTTGTTTCTAAAATGAGCCACAAATAGTAGTTTCTTATTACAAAATGTACGAAATCCCCCAAATACGTCAATTCAAAGGTCATTCAATTTTCCCGCGAAATAAGCCAATTTCCCCTGGATTTGCCTCCACATTGTCTCAGTAAGGTCAAAATCAGTTCAACATTACGTTGGCAAGTCCCCAAATTTCGGGAAAAGTTAAAAAAACGAAATTTAAGGTAATTAAATTTGACCGTTTAAATATCATTTTTTTTTTAGCTTTTCCCGAAATTTGGGGACTTGCCAACGTAATGTTGAACTGATTTTGACCTTACTGAGACAATGTGGAGGCAAATCCAGGGGAAATTGGCTTATTTCGCGGGAAAATTGAATGACCTTTGAATTGACGTATTTGGGGGTCCGAGCCCCCCCTTAAAATTAAATCGAAGTAATTTTTGCAATTTTTACTTAAAAGCGGACACAATTTGGTAAATTTTCCCGTTTTATTTTTTTCTTTACGATAATTTGAACCGGAGTTATGATTTTTTGAAAATAGGTCAAATTTGACCTTTGACCTATCATAACTCGGTCAAAAATTAAGATATTGATCTGCGGTTTGCGCCAAAATTCTTAATTTTTTATGTTCTTTCGAATGAGGTATCACAAGATAGGGGTTGCTATTTGAAAAAAAAAAGTTGGGGGCCCCCGTCCCCCCCTGAGGGGGGAACCAAAATTTTGACCCCCCCAAAAGATGGTCCCCTTTGAGGTAGGAACATTCCCAAAGTTTCATTTCCCTAGGTCAATTCGTTCAAAAGTTAGAGGGGGGGTCGGGGACTTTTCGCTCACCCTGTATAACTCTTCTATTGTACAAGATGTATCACCATTATCATTTTGAGTATTTTTACCTCTTCCATTTTTTATTTTTATTTTTTGACCAAAGCATGAATTGATTGCTTATAAAGTCGTTAGGCATCAGAAAATTGGGAATATTTATAACTTTAAGAACTTTGATCTTCAGTGGAGCTTTTCTAATTTTTTTCTCCTTTTTTTGTGATTTTAGATTTGCCTTTTAAATCAGCTCCCAACAAGTTTGAAGCATTAGCTGCCCATGATTCTCTGGTTGAAGTTTCTGGTGCCCTCAACACTATTGCTGTCAGTTTAATGAAAATTGCAAACGACATTCGATTCCTTGCATCTGGACCAAGGTGTGGATTTGGTGAACTTAGTCTCCCAGAAAATGAGCCAGGAAGCAGTATTATGCCCGGTAATAATAAATTAATCGTTAAAAAAAATATTCTGTGCAATGTTTAACTTGGTAGATTTTTCTTTGAACCTACAATTTTGTCTACTTAGAATGGTTCTACTTTTGTAGTATGAAAAACAACATTTGTTTCGTTCTACAAGTCATGAAACTGGAAACAACTCCTTGCTGAGCAGAAGCAATGTTTGGATTTTGTCTGGTTGTTAAGTCAGCAGATGGCAGACATTGTTCACTTTTCTAAAAAGTTTAGGATGAACAAAAGAAAAACTGGCTTTTTTTGTTTCCTTCTCTTGTGATAAAACAGAAATAAGTTACACTCACTATTTATCAATTACGAAATGGAATTGCTTTTACAGAGATCTGTGTCAAAATACATTTGAGTACCTCACAAATAGAACAAAAGTAGTAAAATGACGATTAATTGTTCTGTAACTAATTAAATGCAAATTTTGACCGCAGACCAAAAAAAAAACCATACTAAGTATTACAGGGACTTCAAGTTGACACCTCTGAAGTTATTTTGTCAAACTTTTAATTCCAGGTAAGGTAAACCCCACCCAATGTGAGGCCATCACCATGGTCGCAGCTCAAGTCATTGGTAACCATGTTGCTGTAACAGTCGGAGGAAGCAATGGTCACTTCGAATTGAATGTATTCAAACCAGTCATGGTCGCGAATGTCCTTCGCTCCATACGTTTAATTTCAGACAGCTCTAAAGCCTTTACTGACAAGTGCGTGGTTGGAATTGAAGCCAACAAAGACCGCATCGATAAATTGCTCCATGAATCCCTCATGTTAGTAACTGCATTGAACCCACACATCGGATATGATAAGGTGAGATTGATCCTTCTCTGTATCTATTGTCAAGGCTATTTAAATACGTCAGTAACCAGGAATTTTTGCAGGGTTGTGGTACTGATTTTCTTGCGTAATATTTTGTAAAAATTCATCAAGCTCATTACAAAGTTAAAAAAATCATTTGTGAGGGAAGAAACAGCTAATCAAAATCCGACCAATCGAAAGCGGACAGTTAAGTTGACGTAGCAAGGCGACACCTGAATATGAGTTCAGCCAATCAGCAAATGCCGCTTCCCTTGCGTAGCTTCGGATTCCTTTAGCAAAAGTATTGTTTCTAATGGATCCGCTTTTTGGCATGTTCAAAACAAGGTTTCTTTGCCCTTCAGGGTTTAAAAAATTTACTCGATGTTTTCTAAAAATTAATTAAAAAGAAACTGCCGTTGCCTCATTCCAAGTGTGTTTTTCTGTCAGAAAATCATTTGTTTAGAATAGTTGTATGTTAGAATGCAGTGCCAATGCTTACTAGGCCTTTGTTGAAATTGTATTGGTCTATAGAAACTCAGGTCATTAGGCAATCACAGATGAAGCCATTAAATTTATGTGCTGATCCTCCACTTTTAAACCAATACAATCACTTATCCTCGTGAACTATTATTCTTAGGCTTAAATCTCCTTTAAACTTCAGCACTCAGATCAAAGTTTTGATGGTTGTATCTTGGCCTGATAGATTATCTAAAGAAGGATTGCTCATGAAAAGATTTTAAAAAATAGCTCAACACAAAGAATGTAATTTTTCAGGATGTAATTTTTTCCCCTGCTTTCCTATCTTTTAACCTTAAATTGAGTAAAGAATGTTTCATCACCTGAAACTTTTCAACTTTAACAAAGAAAAAACTGCTTGCGGAACTCTGATTCTATAGAATCGTGGAAGAAATAAAATAATTTAATTTTTCTCTTCGTTCTTTAACTTTTGTTCCAACGTTTTTCAGGCTGCCAAAATTGCTAAAACTGCGCACAAGGAAGGAACGACTTTGAAAGAATCTGCCTTGAAATTGGGATATTTAACCAGTGATGAATTTGATAAATGGGTCCGACCTGAGGATATGTTGGGACCGAAGTAATAAGCTTCATTCTGTCACAAATTTTTTTAATTGTATATAACAACTGTACTTAAATGTATAAATTCTGTAAGTTATGTTGTTTTTAAATCAGCGTAATCATTAATGCAGGTAGGTATCGATTACTGCCAATTTTTAATCTTAAATTTTATATGTTTCCCACCTGCATTTTTTGGATCTGTTACAAAAAATTCATATTGAATTACTGTTTCTACTTTGAATCATTGTTTTAAGGATGGATTCAACAAAAACCTGTTATTTAATCCATAAGTCCAAATAATAAATTTATTAGCACCAACACCATGTTTTTTTTACTATTATTTTCTGTTTTGATCCTGTTGCAAAAGTACATCATTTCTCCATTATTCTTCATCTGGAAGGGACAGTCTCGCTTTTTTGCAAGCAATGGAAATGTGCATCTATGATAAAATCCTATGGATTTTAACAGAAAACCAATACAAATATGTGGATCCCTAATGGATCGTTCAAAAATAAAAGAAACTATTGTACGCTTTTATGTGGTGGATGTTGTCGTTCACTGTGTAGTATGAAAGGCTTTATCTCCTGCGCAGGTATCTTAGAATGGAGATGTGTTAATAAGAGATTAATCTCACTATTTTCGCTATCCTGAAAGACTCTAACTTTACAGTATATTAAGGGTGGAATTGAGTATGTACCTAATCCAACAACTACATCCATTCCAGAAATTAACCAATTGTTTGGTTCCAAAACATAATTTTACTGTTAAAGCAAGATCTCATCAATAAGTTTCCAAGAGCACCCTCTATGAGTGTTTGCTCTAAAAAGAGAATCATGATTGAGGTATTCTGCAGGGGACTCACTTTATGAAAGAATTGTGTCCATGCTGAATTTTACTTTGCATGATTCTTTCTCTGTTGGGAGATCAGATATTATTTTCGAAAGAAAATTTTAGTTTCACTCATTTCCTTCTCCTAGGTAGCATGCATATTTAAAGATTTTTTACCTTAGTTCAAAGGATATCAATTGATATATCGTGTTCAGTGGGTTCAATTCTTTTAAAATTTCTTTATTGTATTTTTGCCAGATTTTTTATGGAAGAACGCTGACAAGCTCCAATGACAACAAAATTCTTCATTTCTTGGTGGAGGCAAAAATACCAGTTTTTTAAGAGAAGAAAAAGCTGAACACGCTTGAAAGATCTGGGTCGGTTTTAGTTTCAATAATTGAGCTTCATATGTTAAAATTCAATTTCCCGAAAAATCTGTGCAAGATGGGAAAAAACCAATGTCATTTTCTGATAGTACTTATCTATTTTTCTGAGAGGATTTTTATGCATCAACATTGTGATGGTTGAAACCTGTGAAATTAACAATCTTAAGTAGCAACAGATGAATGGGTATGCTGATATGGGTAGTCAAGAATGACATAAGTATTAATTGAAGTTATTATAATTTAATTATTTCATAGAAACAAAAAATAAAAACCAACCAATATATTTGAAGAGAATTGCTGTAGAACTTTCGCATCAGAGCAAAGAAAAATCATGAAAATTCTTGCGGAATAAAGATTGCTGATTCATAGAATAGATGCAGAAAACTTTCTAAAAATGTGCAATGATGTTCAATAGGAAACTACAGTACCTGTATAGCGAGAGTATGGACAGATGTGAAACTCCGAAAATCCATCAGGCCTTCACCGATGCTTCTGCGAATAAAGTTAGGGCCCAGAAATGCAGCCAACCTATGAATTTCAATTATCCAGAACGATTTACTAATACTATTGTTACGAACCGTCGTTTATTAAGCACGTGTTTGACTCAGTTTTTGCATAAATTTACTCAATTTTGCGGAAGAACGCTCATTTATGTACATTCTTGGCCATCTCGGTTAGAATTGGAACCTGCAGACTGGCAGTGAAATTTTGTGCGTTAGAAGTTGGTTAGAAGGGTGGTTGCTCTTTTGGGCCCTAAGCCCTCCATGAAGCGATCTGTCCATACTCTCGCTATACAGGTACTCTATAGGAAACCAGCTTTAATTCCTCACAATTAAAATATCTTTCTGGGGCTGGTAAACTTCTTGGGATAAGATGTTAGTTTAATATAGGAGTGAAAAGACTGAAATCACGGGTACAGGTAAAACAAATTTTATTTGCATGATGACAAAATGTTGGGTTATCTTTTGGATCGAGTCTTTTTTCCATTTATACTAGACTCCCATTCTTCACAAAACAATTGGAATAGTTGCATTGTTGCTTTTGCATCCTCAATTGAACAATGCTCCCCATCTTGGATGTTCCTGTGTAAAAATTTTGCCACTAATTTTTTCAAACTTGGTCTTTTACCACAGGCCTGACGAAATTTGTGAAATGTTGAAGTGTCTCGAATTTTTCTTCGTGGATGACTCAGAAACAATACTTTAAAATCATTGGTTAAGGCATGACCGACTAAAATTTTACCCTTCAGAATACTTGCAACCTCTTTTTGAACAACAGTAAAATCCTCACCATTTTGTAGATCTGTAGCTTTCAGGCCACTAACGCTGGTTCTGTAGTCAGTGACTTTTTCCATGGGCTTGACATATTTATCGTAAATACATTCTCCATTCCAGTTTACGATGGATACTCTGCCTAGCATGTTCCCTTTTTTGTCTTTGTCTACACCCACCATTTCACAATCAAGGGCTACATAATTATTTCTAAAAGGTTTTAATGGAAAATTAACAGTTTGAGTGTCAATTTGCGGCTCCTCTTCATCATCCATAGGGATCGGCGATGGCTCGACCTCCGGTTTACTCTTGTAACGGGGGAAGTCTGGGGCGATGTATGGAGAGGAATCCTCCTTCACTTTTGAAGCGACAGCTGACAAGGCGGAAAGTTGTTTTTGTTTGAATGAAAATTTTGATTTCTTCGATTGTTTAGATGGTTTTTTGGTACCTTTAAGAAACTGCAACCAGTTGTTTGAAGTAGAGTTCCTGACAACAGAGGCTACTTTTTCCACTGCACAAGGCTGATCTGTGTTTAACATGATAGTCAAAGAGTTCTGGGTTAATTCAGTAGAGTTAAGTGCTCTAACCACCGCACTAGGGAAATTATAACTTAGAAAAAGTTTGACATGAGACCAAACTAGGCGAAGGAATTTAATTTAACATTACTTCGAGTAAAATTGGACAACTTGCGAGGAAAAACTAAAAAAAAACAAAAGTATAACCTCAAACCAGGGACATGTGACACCACGAGCACCACGACAGGAACAAATGGAATTTGCCGAACCGGAAACGTGGAAGGAAAAGAACCAGGAAAACTCTCACTCAAAAAACAGCGGGAATTTTAAAATTAGTGCGAACGCTCAACGAACCGAATGCTCCAAGCAGCCAAAGCAACGTTCGTCAATGTCATTTTGCCTTTTACCTAGAGTATGTACCAGTTTGGTACCAGTGCCAGTGCCTACTGTAGTACTCATGTACCACTAACTTGGTCACTTTTTTTATTTGACCGACAGTTGGGAATCGAGAGATAAATCTCCTTAAAATTAATTATCGAAGTTACCAGATGACAGATTAAAAATAGAAGAGCTTTTGGAGCTCATCAATCACATAACCATTTTCGTAAAGAAGAACGTAGTTCCACTCCAAGATTGCAAAATTTTCGCAAATAGTTTACTTTTTCACAAGAACGCATGATTGTGCAATATAAGTTCAAATTTTCCTGAAGTTTGCCTATAATCCAATGAAAAGTCAGCAAAAATTTCAGCTAGAAATGCGCAACTAATCCATCCAAACATACAACTTGATAAAGGAAATTTTGTGTTGTTGAAATTTAGTTACTTACATTGCAAAAGTAGTTTCTAGAACAAGTTTTGTCGGCAAAGCGCTTTCAAGCTATTTAGTTTGATTTAAGTACCAGAACAGTTTTTCTGCCTACTTAAAATTAGTGGTCGGAAGTGAGAGATAAAGCGCTTCAATGCAGGGGTGCAGAAAGTGCTTGACTGGCTTGTTGCTAGAAATATATGAAGCCGCACCTAAAAGGAGGGAAATTTGCAGGCAGAGGGCATTTGTGATTTTTCTTTAACTTTTTGTGTTAGGTATTTCTTAATACAGATGCATGTGCGACTTTTTGTGAGGGAAATCTGAATATGCATACTTTTTTAGAGGAAAACTGATAAGCATGTTACTTTATGCAAAAAAGAAGTGAAGCGTGCAGTCTAATGTGGACAGCAATTCGAGGGCTGCCTAAAAGGATGTGAACGCAAAGAACTCTCTGCACCCCTGGTTGTATAGGTCACCTAATTAAATTGGTAATAAAGTCAGAACTTGCAAACTACAATAGCTAAGGATATTGAAAATGAATAAAGAATATCCAAAATTTAGAAAAATCTTTGTTCATTTAATATTTTTAGGATATATTTACAAGAGTTACACCATAGTAATATATTAAGTACAAACAAAAACAAAATTAAAGAAGCATAAAAACCACATTCCAACAAGAAAATGATGGGTACAAATAATAAGTAGCCTGGAGTACCTTAATATTGAGTACTACAAGTTGCTATAAGTTTGGAGCATTTCAACAGCATTAATCAGAATTAGCCTTTCAATACATTTTGAATTTTCTCATAGGTATATTATATTTTTAAAACAGAAAACTAAAAAACATAACACCTTGAAAATTTCTGTGAATTTTTCCAAGACTATAAAGAATATGTGTACTCACAAAATTCCATGTCAATATATGTTGCTAAGTTTTTTGTTACAAAAATAAAACAATATGGGAGAATAATCCTCTAGCAACGATACCCACAGCATGTTTGTTAAAGTCACAATCAATTATTGAACAAATGAGCCTTGAAATTTACGTATGATGCACTAAAAATATGAAAAGCAAACAGTAAATCTTAAGTTGCATCAAGAGAGCTTCTAGTGTAAATAAGGGAAAAAAATGCCCATCATAATTTTTCTTTCACATGGTCCACCTTCCTTCCATTTCGACTTGTCTTGCAAACTTAGAAGAGTGTTTGACAATGCCATGAGTAAACCCTTAATGTGATGCGTTAAATGCGGTGCTGATATTTTCGACTAAAAATTGCCACAAACTTCCTTCAAAATGAATGGGGACACCCTCCTTTCTATTCCTACTTGTCCTGCAAACTTATATACGTGTTTTGAAACTGCTACTGAAAACTCAGTCCAATGGCATAAGTGTTGCCCTGTTCTAAATTCCAAAATTTACAGAAAAGTAATGAAATGAGAGTATTGGTCCTAAGTTTGGTGGCACCCAAGTCACGTGCGACCTCAGTGTATCACAGCTTAGATAATCAAAACCTGATTGAAGTTGATATCTGTTTCTCAAAAGACAAAACTGAAACATACAGAGTGTCAGTTTTGAAAACATTCACTGCATTGCATCAATGATGGAACACATCAACTGATCTTGTGGCGAGCATGCATCCGGCGTTTCTGCATCTTTGTCATCCATTTTGGTTTCTTCGAAGAATTCTGTCCTTGCCAGTAATTTGTTATCTAAGTTGGCTCCTGGAGGCATTTGGATGGCTTCATTTAGGATGTCCATCACCTGAATCAAAAAGAGAAAAATGTTAAACGCTTAAGAAAAGATCTTCGAATCCATCCAGTTTTTTGCATTCAACATCGAACACTCTTTTTATGAGAAGAGTAACCTGCTTTAAGGTATTTGATCGTGCAAATATCTTCAATCAGATGTAGAATTTGTTTTGCAGTAAGGGAAATCTCTCTCTTTCATTCACTCATTAATTAAAGGAATTGAAATTTTCAGGTCACCTGACCGGGAATCGATCCCAGGACCTTTTGGCCATAGGGCCAGCACTACAACCACTAAACTACAGGAGGCTAGCCTGCATCCCTGCACACTATTTAGGCACCAACAAGCTGCACTGAACTGCATTAATTTGGAAGGACAACAACCTATAGTCTGTGCAAACCAATTAGACCGAGTAAAACAGAACTCGCGAATTTCGCGAGTTTTGTAATACAAGAACTTACCATTACACTTACCTAAAATTATATATATTTTTCATCAGGATTGCAAGCTGAATCCGAATCTGTTAAACTAAAGGAAAAATTCACAGATGATAAAAAAATTTGTGAGAAATTTTTGGTCCACCAGTAGACAGAGAGCCTTAATGACAAGGGTTCGGCCGCCAGGTAAAGGCCCGGTGTGGACACTATGGGAACAATACCCCAGTGAGTTCGGCGATGACCCAGCAGCTCCTCGCCGGGATCCAACGTTGCAATTCTCGGCTCGCCCGAAAATGCCCGAATTATTGCTCGGTCTACTAATTGGTCTGCACAGACTATAACTACATCACATCACAGCCTCGTGAAGAGAGGAGTTTGACCCACAGTTATGTTTGAAAGTGAATCTGTAGATTTGACGGAAGAGAGCTAATAACAATTTTTGGTGCATTCAATTGAGCCAGCTTTTAACTGCCTCCTCATCAAGACTGGCAGAAATTGCAATAAAGTGTTAGATGCTGGGAAAGTTATTAGGACAGCTGAGAAGTCACTGCAATCTCTCAATTTAACTTCTGGTAACTATTTTAGAAGTGAAGGTTAAATATAAAGCCCATAGAAGGAAAATCTGGAAGAAATACAACTCACCTTGTCATAGTGTTTCTGGAAGCGACTGATGGCTTCTAAAGTTTGCCTACGTTGCATTTCCATCATGACTCTCAGCGTTTCTCGAGCTTGATGTGGCCTGAATTCATTCAAAAGATGATGAATATGAATGAACAATAAACTAAGATCTTCAACTTTTTCTGCTCTCCTCGGAGAATCTGGAGACTGAACTAACAAGTCTATCAGGTCCAAGAAATTTACTAGAAGCGAGTGGTTCAACTTCCTTAATTCACGTCTTCGGTCAAAATGTTGAGGATACAGCCGTTTAATTCCCTGAAAAATGAAACAAAATAAAGATATAATTTTCAATCATGAGCTTTCTAGATATCTTAAACCTATTTTTTCTGATAGACCAAAGAACCTGAATTCCACAATCTCGGCATTCATTGAAAAAAGTTATATCTTACAAAATCTTAATAGAATGATGGATTGGATTTTGGGGCGTGATTGATCACACACTCACATTCTATGATGTGACTCGTTTTAGGTAGGGACAATAAATTGAAATCATCTTGCTAACTACTCCTGTCCAACCTTGTACAAGTTAGAACTGGGGAGAGAAAAGATAAGTCACATCAAAATATTGCACCATTCGACAGAAATTTACATACTAAGGTTAGCACTGGATCTGCAAATTCCAAACAGAGCAGTCATGGATATAAAAAATCAAGTTAGTAAGAAATTAAATCAGTTCTCTTCCTTTTTTCTTCCACAACTATAAGATGATAAAACGTTTTTTACCTGACTTTCTAAAGGCCGAATTATGACGTCATCAGCACTGAATTGATTGCCGAACATTGTGTAGGAGTCCGCAATAGGTGGAGGCGGTTTCGGAGCTCTGCCTCGCTTGATATTTTCATCCGTGTAGTTGTTGATATACTGGACAGGCGGAAGAGGCAAAGAACTAACTTGGCTGGCGTCAGGGGTTGCCATCTGTGGACAGTAAAATTGGAAGATTTAGATTATAGACGACAGAAAAATTACAAGTCTTCATGGCTTCCGGAATTATTCCTGAATCAAAGGCTCGGGTATATTGATATCTCAGTGTGTTTTCACCACCAGTGTCTTTTTCAACATCCATACAGCTAAAAACAATCATTAAGTTTGTTGATTGCATGACTAACCCCCCTCAAAAAAAAAAAAAAAAAAAAAAAAAAAAAAAAAAAAAAAAAAACTTGGGTACAACAAAACTGAAGAATTGGTCCATATTCTAAAGTGCTTTTCAGGCTCACTTTCTGAAAATAAAAATTACTCTAAAGCTTGTTCAACAGACACAAATTACCTTAAAAATTCGCCCCTCTGGTGTGCCCGAACAGTATAGGTTCTCAGCTACAGCCTATTCTATTAACGTTCCGGCACCTCTGCACCAGTTAAGGTGATTCGTCAAGCTCAAGTGACGTGGTCGAATTGGCATGCGATATATCGCATCGATTAGGTAAAAAATCTTGACAGATTTTGAAGTTTTAGCAAAAAAAAGGACGATAGCTCCTGCGCATGAGCCTAAAGAATCATTCTAAACCCAAAAATCGGCATAATTCAGAAAAATGAAAGCATAATAGTGTTTGGAGAAAAACATCGCATTCGATACAGAAAACGATAGCTGAATCGAATGCGAGGTCATCGCAGGGGCTATTGTCCTTTGTTTTGCTAAAAATTCAAAATCTGTCAAAATTTTTGACCTAAAAGATGCAATATATCGCATGCCAGTTCAACCACTTCTTTTGAGCTTGACGAATCACCTTAAGAAGGCCTTACAGCTTAAAGTATCATATTGTACATGGATATTAAACCTACCTTAAGGTTGATGCAGAACTTTTTCCAGGGAATGAAACTAGAAAGACATGATGAAGAGCGCCCTGTTGAAGATGATAAAAGAGAGGTAGATTCGCAATTCGCAACTAGTTTAGTTCAGAGACTTCAGAAAAAGGGTGAAAGAGATGCAAAGTGGAAAGGATCAATGTTCACTGAGGTGAGCGGTGGAAACGAAAGTTCTCCTCCAACTTTTCACTCAAGTAAGAATTTCGATGAAGCATTATACTCTTTGATTCCCTGGGCAATATTGAACGTAACACACTTTTCTTTCGCCGCGTTAGGTACTTACTGCAAATAGCAACTGGATCTCGGTTACTTTGATTGCGGCGGAAACACGTTTAAATACCCACACAGTTAACTTTTTTATTTACCAAGAGGCTTGATCAACATGATATAGCTGAATTATAATCGAAAGCTCGAAAGGAAAATGACTGATGACAAACAACATAACCTAACTCAATCAATTGTTTTTTTTCCCTTTCTTTTTCTTCTTCTTTATCCAGTTTTTTTTTTAGTCTACAAGCATAAGTACACTGTCAAACCAGATTGGTAGACTAGCCACAGCAACACTGGAGCCGGTACGAATACTAAATTTTGATTGGTGCGCTTCGCCTGAAACTCTACTGCTCATTGGCTGTCAAGGTAACAGCGAAGCTTTTGTGGCTGCGTGCGCATTTGATTGTCCAAACCCTTGATTGATGGTGTACCGCGGACAGGGACTACTGACGTCTTTTTCTCCGAATCCCGAATTCTTCATGGTGGCTTCGGGTGCTTCAAGTCTTTTTGTTACTGCCTCCCAGTGAATTTTAATACTCCCACCTTCTTCTTTATGATTCTCGTAAGTATTAAAATTTAGCTTCAACGCTTTCTTAATCGTAAAAAAATCTCAATCCAGCATTCCTCTTTGTTTGCACCCTCTAGAGGAGGCATCCTCTCAACACAACACAAAATAAACAAATCAGTTCATATCATAATTAGATCGAACATGAGTATCATCAATGATAATTTGCGAATCTATTGTGTGGCTATCGTTTATCTGCCATTCCAACTGCTATTTAAAATTCTGGCTATCTAAAGAATTTCATTTATCTGCTGTATGATATGCAGGGGTGTATGGTGTGAATTGTGGTGTGTTAGGTATGCTTCCTTCAATCTCGGTCTATGGTTGCATTTACACCCTGGACCTCATGTGTACTTTGATTCCTTTCTGCTACTTACTTATCACTTGTCAATTCCATATTCTTTATTTTTACCTTCAACATCATGGTTCTCCTGGATTATTATATCCTCACGAGTATGAGTCAGCCCTCATTTCCGTATCTAGGCTTAGGTTATACTTTCCTTCTGGAATTAACATACTTTGGAAGCTATACGAATTCAAGACAACATATTTTTGTTCCTCAATCTTTAATTCCTTGCTCTTAGTCTTTTGTTAGATATTATGATGGAGGAGCACATCATGATCTTAAACACCTGCAACGGGCTTTAAGATTAGGGCGGCATCATACTCATAGAACAGATCGTTATTTTGAAGGCTTGGGATTACATTCCCACAGATTCTGTGTAGTTGCCCTGAAGATTTACACATTGTGTAAATAGTCAGCTTTTTATTTGCTGAATTTGACTCAAAGAATGGCTTGACAATTTGAGCAACAAGATGGACTGTTAATCGCATCTGCACAAGTTGTTAATCGCTTTGGAATCAAACAAATTCTTGTATTTTTGTTGCATTAACTCAGCTCTTGATTTGATATATTTAGTCTCAATGTGTCCAAAGATGCTGTGTAGTAACGAGGTGGTGAAATGGTGCTGGGTCCACATTGTTTCAAGGGGAAAACAAAGCCAAAAAGTTCAAAAACTTTAACTACAGTCAACATCTTTGAGCTCTAATGAGTATCAGAAAAAGACTGAGAGAGGAGAGTGTTCAGCTCAGGCAGCCTACATTAAGATATTAAGTTGAGGTCAAGCTGAGAGATCTATAACATTTTGGATCTTTTTAGATCTCATCAGTAGATTACACCCATCAGTGAACCCAACTTAGCATCCCACAAAATCCAAGACAGCATCGAAACACCGTTATAAGTATGATGCGAGGCATGACACAAAAATGTGATCCCCACACCATCTACCATCCCTGCTGAACAATTCTCATATCAAAACAAAGAAAACCCGAAAAAAATTATTATCAGGCAGGCCGGAGATGCAAATGCACCTATTCAACCGCCAGCTCCGAAGCAAGAAAAAACACAGTACCCCAAACTGTGTGTTTATATGAGAAAAAACGCCAAGAAACAGCCCGTACCGTATGTAACAAAGTAGTGAAATGGTGCTGGGTTAATATCTTTGAGGACAAAATAGTAGTACAATTTGAGAATGTGTTATTGATTCATACTTGTCTCTCTCCTGCATAGGTTGTTGAGTCCATTTTTTCCTGTGATGGCGGGCAAAGATGGAGAAGAAATTATCAAGCAAGGCTTGATGATCAAAAGGTCACAGAACAAGAAGCGGTTCACTCCAATAAATTATAAACAGCGATGGTTCGTTTTAACCCGGAAACATCTAATTTACTATGATACTGAAGGAGAGGTATGTTTTCCTGCTTTCATTTAACAATTATTACATAATTACCAACAGTTTGAAATAATTCCTCTCTTATCCACAGAATAGAACTTTGGACGATCCTTGTAGATCGTGGCCATGGATAGATTAGCAATTAAATTTATCTCTTGTTGAAGACTGTTTGCAATCAGTCTATTATTCTGTATCAAGATCATATCTGACATTGCATGTAGTTAAATCTGGAGGAAAGGACAGACATTTTTGGAGATCTCCATCTCTTTAGTCATGGATTATAAAATTGAAGGTACAGGCTATTTTGAAACACTGCTATGGACTTGTATGTCCATTTCCAGAAATCACCTTAATTTAAAAATCTTAGCTACTTGAAACAAACTTGTTTATAATGATGTCCACTGGTTTAAATCACACCTGAGGCCGATTGTTGAAATTTTGTGTTTAAAAACTGACAAGACAAAGGTGCAGTGGAATTATGTGATTGGTCAGCTATGTCACTTGAGATACCAAGAGTGTCTTAGCAAGCCTTTTACTAGACTGAATAATAAACCAGGCAAGTAAAAGCTCCTCCTGACTGACAACCAGTCAAATATTCATCCTGATAAAGGGCTCTCAAAATGACTCTTGGTACTCCTAACAACATAGCTGACCAGTCACATAATTCCATCTCAGCTTTCCCTTGTCTTGTTCCATTGTCAACCACAAAATTTCAATAATTGCCACGCAAAAAGAAGAACGAAGTAAACCAGCTCATGTCAGGCTTCTCCAACCCGTCAAATGGTGCAAACCAGTTTATAATAGATTCTAAGGCTCTAAAGTGACGCTTTAGGTGAACATTTTTCACTGTTACATGGGTGTCACTTTAATTGCTGTCAGCAGCAATGTGTCTCAAGCTCTGTAACATTAGGAACTTGTGCATAAAAACTTATGAGGTCCAACATTGTTGCATCGCAGCAAACCAAAAAAATACCAAAGCTCTTTATAAATATAGTCTTAATTTCCCAAAGTGAATTATTCCCTGTTTATTAGTATTGTTTGAATTGAAAGAGTGAGGTCCCCATGTATTTTCTCCCTGTATAACCTTGGATCTTTTTTCAAATGCAAGTTTTTACGGTTGATCTTTCAAGGGATGTATCTGTGGTGAGATAGGCTCTAATGAACCAATAAGGTCAGAACCAACAGTCTGCAAACTTGCACCTGTTTATATTACTCTGCACACGCTTTCATAGTTCTTCATTAATCAATAAATCCAAGTTGGTTCTGATCCTCATAAATCTATTTTTCAAAATAGATTTACAAACTGGAACAAGTGAGGTTTAGTCCCTGATGATGGCTATTCCAAAGAAACCGAAAGAAATTTCTTTCATCTGTTCAATGTTCACGTTAGTCCTACCATTATTCTCTGTTGTTAAATGCTATATTTGGTTGTATGCTTCATTCAAGACAAACCAAACAGAATTCTGAGGGGAGGGGAACTTACAACATTACTGTCAAAAGCTTGAGAATGCAATATGATTCTTTTTTGTTGTTTTTGTTGTTAAATGCACATTTGCCAGAAAAGGCGAGCCATTTTTCACCAGAGTACCAACTTTCTTCACGGTCCTTGTTTCACTTGTCAATACTCAACATCACTCAAACCCTCAAAAGTGGTGATTTTCAGTCTGTGTCCCAATGCAAAACATTTCTTATTTCCATGAGGCGTAGAAAGTTAAAAACAATAATTTTCATGATTTTCGTAAATTTTATCTGGGTTAATGATATAGGTAGCCCTAGCTCTTTTTCAGTTGATGTGAGGGCCTCTGTAAGTTCAGATAGCATATTTTATAATTTTGTCCATACCATCAATTCATGTGCTGACGTTTTGCTTTGTGGATCACATTGAGACTAACCAGAACTAATATTCTCTCAACTTTAAACATGTATACTGAATGTGCATCATAATTACTGAGTCCAATTACTAATTTGTTTGTGCATTAATTGTAACTAAGAATGTGCTGCTCTTTGCAAGATCGCGTTTCATATAGTATAATCTTTAGGCTGATTACTGATGGGAACCAAACAGTAGAAATAAGAGAATGCAGGATTGTAGACAACTTCTGTCACTGTGGCAATCCTACATTTTCAAGGCAGGGTCAACTTGAAACCCTTAGTCCTTTCTCTTAACATTTTCAGTATTGATTCACATTTTAAGAGTTTCATCCAATTTTTTATCTTTTTTCAAATTTTTGGCTGGAACTAGTCTTGAAATTTTTTAAGGATGCCCAGAAGATCTCTTGAAAAAACACTTTGAATTTCAAATGATTTTTCTCCCAATTAGATATCACATTTGAGATTGTTGAAAGGAACCATCCTTATTTTTCTTTTGTAATGGGGACTTCCAAAATAACAGGGTCTTATCGCTTTATTAATGTTTGCCTGTTATCACAGGTAATAGAAAATGAAGGTGAATGGAAAACAATTTTCCCCTCTGGAGACATTCCAAAACGCTTCTGACATTATATTTTAAGCCCTTGAATGAAAGGGTTTGAAAATTTTTTCAGAAGTCGTCAAAAAGTTCTTGGGAGCTGGAGGTAAATTTTTATTTTACGAAGCGTGTCATTCCAAGGAAAGATGCCGCTCACTTTTAAAATGACTGGGGTAGAGTGTTCAGAAATTATCAAGAGTTTTATATCTGACAAGGGGAGGCTACCGATTGTCCACCTCAGATCGGGTTCAAATTTGGCAGAGAGGTAGAATAGGTTAATATAAGAACCCATATTTTTTTTTTTAGGTGCCAATGCCCAGCCGTTTTTGAGTTATGAATTTTTAAAGTTGGCGTTTTTTCGCGTCAGCCACGCGCTCAAGTCTGGTCTACTGTGCGCGCATGTTTAAGTGCCAATCTGACTGCACGGTAGGCACAGTGAGACGGCTGGCCCAGCGGCAGCGCTTCCGCCTCCGGGTCGGATCATCCTGGGTTCGATTCCCGCCCAGAGTCTGTAGTTTTGTGTAACCAATTATTTTGTTTCCTAATCGTTTAATCACAGCAAATTGTAAGTCACTTTGTAAACATTATGATTCTGATTATTTTTTTTATATCTTTTTCTTCAAACAATCAATCCACGTCATTGGCCGCTTCTATATCTCCGAATACATTTTTTGCAAGGTATGCGCCAAATATTAAATACGTTTACTTACATTAAAAAACAATGAGGAGAAAGAGAGATAGATGTAAGAGAAGAAAAACAAATGAAAATTATTTTTTCAACCCTCGTCCTTTTTTTGCACGCGTGTAAAATTTGCAACATTGAGAATGGTCATGGTGATAAAAAAATAATCAGAATCATAATGTTTACAAAGTGACTTACAATTTGCTGTGATTAAACGATTAGGAAACAAAATAATTGGTTACACAAAACTACAGACTCTGGGCGGGAATCGAACCCAGGATGGTCCGACCCGGTGGCGGAAGCGCTGCCGCTGGGCCAGCCGTCACACTGTACCCGATGCGCAGTCAGATCGGAATTTAAACGTGCGCGCACAGTAGACCAGACTTGAGCGCGTGGCTGACGCGAAAAAATGCCAACTTTAAAAATTCACAACTCAAAAACGGCTGGGCATTGGCACCTAAAAAAAAATACGGGTTCTTATATTAACCTATTCTACCTCTCTGCCAAATTTGAACCCGATCTGAGGTGGACAATCGGTAGCCTCCCCTTGTGAGTCACCTCCAGATCTAAAATTCACTTTGCACTGTCTTGAGTCTTGTGTTTGCACTTTTACATGGGTTTCTCCAAAAAATGTATGGTAAACAATTCAGGTGTTTAAGATTCGCGTGCACAAAAAACCAATTTTACACACCCTTTCTATCACTGTTCGCTGTGAAACGTCTGATTTGTTGTGAATATTCATTGAAAACTAATGGTGTTTCTCAGGAATTGGTGCCCAAATCCGCGACAGGTGGTTACGGAAATTTACCATGTTTACAAAGCCTTCACCTTCTTCTAAATAGGGTATGAACTTACTCATTAACACATTATTAATTTATCCCCAAAGGTTGCTCATTGAAATTCGGTCTTTGTTTTTTAAATCCCTGGTGAGGTTATCATTTGAATAGTGGAGGAAATATTTCTTTGTGCAAATCAAATCACAATGATTTTGGAGTTGAATAGCTTAACTTTTGCAAATTATTAATTTATCTAAGGCTGTCGACTTGAAAGCTTTCTAAAGTAAAAAATTATTTCATGAATACCCAAAGATAGTTGTGAAAACAAGTATCTTATCTTATCTGGATCGGGAAATAAAGTTAAAAGATACTCTTTTTTTAATAGCATGTGCGTTGTTAAACATGAAGAGTATATTGATCAAAACTGAGGCTAGCTGAGTCTATCATAATTATTTTCTGACCCTTATAAGAGGTGAAAAAAATCATAATTGTACCAATTTTTTTTAATGGCCCAAGTGCCAATATCCAAGTTCCCAGAAAAACGGAAATAATTCTCATTCAGCAAGCGCTCAATCTTTTTAAGCTCAAAACATTGATTTATTTTGTCTTCTTCCAAGTATCCTCTTGTCAAGAGAGCTAATTGATTAGTATTTTTAAAAAAACAATGCCTAGAATCATGTCAAACAAACAAAATTTTTCAGGAGTATATAAATGAGCAGCTTTTTTTCTAATGTTGCATGTTGAACACCTACGCTTTGGTTTTGCTTGCATGCCAAATAGACTCTGTTTGTGGTATCTCGAATTAAATGCTGCTGGTTATTTAGAATGATTGAGATCTAAAATATTCTTAATCAAGTTGGGAGGAAATATTAAATCACAAATACTGTAACTGTTTTCTAAGCAATTGCACTTTTATTCATTCTCTCTATTTTGCAGTCGGATTGTTGTAACTTTAACTGGCTTTGTCGGCACGATAAGACAAGGCCTAGCCCTATCTGCGCCGTGTAATATATCGATTTTCGATTCTTGTCGTGCCGACATAAATTTCAATAATCGGACTGCTAATATGGATTAGCCCTAATAACTGACATTCGGATCAGAAAATGCTCTTCTTAACAGATGAAATTTTTATTTAAAAGCACAAGACATCTGAATTTTATAGTCTTATAAGCTTTCTAAAAAAAAATTTGTCAATTTCAAATTTCTCAATCATTTATGCCTGCTCGCTCGTTTCATCAGTCATTTCCTGTAGCCTGCCTTTTTAGTCCGTTGCTTCTGCTTAGCACTTTTTCGCATTTTATGTGTGTCATCATTTTTTCGTCCATCACTTTATAAATACATTTTTTGCTATGTGCGACAACAAGACAGAAACAGGAGAATGACAAGAACTTGCGAGTCTAAACGAGCTTTCAACTACAGATTTTAGTGTGTTTTCCGACAGAAATACACTATTTCGTAAAATTATTTTCTTGATGATTTCTTTTAAAAATTTTTGAGGAAAATTTTTCCAACTGTACTGCCGTGCTAAAGAAGAACGCCGTGAAGAGAGGAAAATCAGAAAAAAAATCACAAACGAGAAATGGCGAGAAAATCTCCCATTTCCTTAGAGTTAAAGTATGGTAATTTCTGATTTGTTCGTCTTTCGGTGATACAAGAGACAGCTTCTTTCATTAGTCTAGTTGAGAGAGAAACCAAACACGCAATTTGGCCTGGAGCGGTACGGCGCAGAGAGCAATAATGACGAGGATTTGAGTTGAAAAGGAGAAGCCCTCGGCGAGCCGCGCCGGTCAGCATGAAACACATATTAGCGCCTACAAGACTCTATGAATACTTCACGCATTGCGTCAAACGTAGCGCGGTCAGCAGCGGTTGGCGTGAAACTCATAGTGCCTACAAGACTGCATGAATACTTCACGCATTGCATCAAAAACAGTCCGGTCAGCAGCGGTCGGCGTGAACCGCATAGCGCCTACGAGACTGTAGGGATACTTCACGCATTGCGCCAAACGCAGTGCGATTGGCGCAGTGGCGGAAGTTAAAATTATTAAACCACATTCATGATTATACTTTCACAATTTTTTCGTTCATTTCTCATAAATGAAGGGCCTTGTCCACACAGAGCGCCACGGAGCTTAACTTTCGCGCTAAGTACCGTGAACTTTGGCTAGTGTTGACAGGGGGCTTTCACAAAAAATGTGCCCAACACGAGTAAACGCGTCTTATACCTCTTCCTCCTCCGGCACGTTCACCTGATGGTTTGTATCGATGTTTCAAAACGAATGAGAATGGGGCGGCAAGAAGGTAAATCCGGCCCTGAAACTGCGTATATAGACTCACGCGCTCTAAACAAGACTTCTCGGGATTTTTTGGGGGTGTTTCCAGGGCGCATTGGAAAAAACAAAAACAAAAAACAAAAAAAAAAAAAAAAAAAAAAAAAAAAAAAAAAAAAAAAAGCACGGGTCAAATGGATTCATCCAAAGAGTTCGTGCGAATTTTTTCAGCCCGATCGGAGGCGGTAGCTTGGAAAGTTCCCCTTGTAAGTTGATACTTTCGTGTGGTCCTTTACAGTGAGTATTCCAACTGCTGCTGAGCTTTTTTTTTTTTTGCTTAAACCGCGGCCTGCGCTCAGAGGCTTTCTTCATCCCCCACCACCAATGTGCATTCCATCGTAGTCCAGTTATCGATTTGTTTTTTTTTTATTTACAGTCGGCATCTCAACCCGCCGTTCGCAAGACTCAATTTTTTCCCTCCTCGGGAAAGTAAGTCATCATCCGTCAATGCAATTCTAATCGCTCCGCAAAGACTTCTGTCTTAGCTTCGCTTGAATAGCCCTCGTCGCCGGAACCGTACCTCCGACTGGCCCCGGGGCCCGTAAGAACGCTGCATTTCCAGGGCACGCACGGTAGCGGACATGCTAGGTTTAGGGATCAAATTAGATCGTAATCGCGTTTCAATTCCGAATCCCCGATTGCATATCCCTACGGAAGACGGCAGTAAGTGGGTTTCAGCGTGAGCCGCGGTTCGCGCGTATCCTCACGCGCTTCCGGCTCACGGGAATTGCACTTACTGCTGTTTTCCGTAGTGCAGTGTGCAAGGGGGCGGCGGGCGGGAGGCTGTAGCCATGACAACCCTCGTGTCAGATGGGTCAAGCCCACTGAAGGGTGTTGTACCCTGCAGTGTGTCAGACGTTCTCACGGCGGAAGGGACCCCCGCGAAAGCTCCGAGCTCCGCTACTTTAAATTACACTAAAATATTTTACACAAAGTATTCAACTTTCAGTTTTTGCCGATTCGTGCGGTTAGTTTACTTCGACGCTATTTTCTTGCTTCTTTGAGGGAAAATCTCCGGTTCTGTTGGGTGTCCGATCCAGGTAACGTTTTCAGCTCAGTTGTTTTGGGGTATCGCCCATTTTTCGACCCTCGTCCGGGGTCGGGGGTTTTCCTGAATCATTTATATCGACACCCCCCCCCCCCCCCCTCCCCACGAGAAAAGGTACTCGGTGCGAGGAAAATCCCCCTCAAAATTAATTGTTGGTACCCTGCCTTGGAGGAGTGATATTTAAGTACCATGGCTGGAAAATCTTCGTGAAAATCCCCCTACCCCCCAATCTTTAGTTAGCAAGTCCGATTTGAAGTCAGCAGTTCAATGATCGGGCCCTTCTCGACTCAGAAATGCAGGGTCCGCAACATGCCCACCCCCCTCCCGTTAAGTGCATTTTTTATGATGCTGAGGAATACAAGAATGAAGGTTGAGTGGTGCATCATTTTTTCCGAAAAGTTATTTGTTTGGTGTAACTAGTGGTTCAGGGTGGTCGTATCCCCGTGTTTTTCCCTCCGCCCTTTTATTTTTATCGTGATGTACTTAGTTACCTCTCAGAAGAATGCCAAAATCGTTCCTAACTCGTTTTTTTCCGAAAATGCCACTATGAAGGTATATGTAGTATGGACTCTTCGAACAGTTGATTATTAGATTCCTCCTAGTGAGATGACAGTGAGATCAATTTGCCTCTGATCCAATCATTGCTGAAGCTGATAGTAAAGTCAGTGTCAATTCAAGACATATGCACTGCTTTCACAATGCTTGCTTAATGCTTTTATTGTATTATTTTTCCTTATTTCTCGTGCAATACATTTTACTTCCTAAAAAAAGGTCTTTGTTGTTGCCTGTGTTCTTTTTTTTTGTGTACCATCCATATTTATCCTACTCCCCTCCTCCCTCTTTTTCTCTTTTTTAAAAAAATGGCAATGATTGCCCACAGTGAATGAGAGAGATATGTTTAATATCTGTGAATTTGAGGAAATTGAGTTTCAGTACTGTTGGAAAATTAAATTGAGTCAAGTGGTCCCAAAAATTTTGAATTCATGTTGTAGAGCTAGAAGCACTCTCTGTAAGTAAATAATTCTTTGCGTAGTTTACCTTGAAATAATTTTCATCCCAAAATGCCATTATCTCAATTTGTAAGAGAATGTTACTTATCTCCTCCTTTCACCAGAGGCTTCAATTGCCAAAATCCACCTCTGCCTTCTCCTTTTTTTGTTTTCTTTTGTGAGCAACTGATTTAATTTTAATTGTTTTTTCATTTCAGCGGAGGAAAGAACGCGGTAGAATTCAGCTAAACAGTGTCAATGTCATTGAGAATGCTGTCATATCTTCCGTGCCGCTCAACTCATCGATTCAAGATTTAAACTCAAGTCTAAGCCTGGTTGACAATAATTGCAGTGTCCTCAATTCTTCTGCTTCTGGCTACCCATTTCAGCTGTGTTATATAGACTCATCCGGTCAGGAGTATACCCTGTACCTTATCACAGCAAGGGAACAGGACAGAACTGATTGGCTCATAGCCTTGAGAGAAGGTAGTTCTTCACGTTTTCATATTGTTTGTGAAATAATTAATGGATTTCGGCAGATCAGCAAATTGTAACGATAATGTACTTTAGCCTTGAGAGAAGGTAGTTCTTCACTTTTTCATATTGTTTGTGAAATAGTTAATGAATTTCGGCAGATCAGCAAATTGTAACGATAATGTTCTGGCCCCAAACTGTACCAAAGCTAAATCAAAGCCTTTTTGACTATTTACTGTCTGGATTTTCATTGTTCTGGGCATTGCCCAGTTATTTAAAAAGAAAGAAAAGAAAAGAAGAAAAAAATTATAGGGCTTAGGTTGCGTTGAGAAGTTCCGAATATCCTTGATTTTTCCGATTTTCAAGCCTCTGTAAGCACTTAATTAAAGGGACAAAGTCCTACATTTTTAAGTCCTTGAAAGCTCTAAAATTTGAAGCCTATTGATCAGGAATCGCAGTGTTATCATGAAAATTACATTCCTTATTTTTTTTTTCATCATCAGCTGCTTAGAAAGATTTTTACTCATAAGTGGTATTGCTTCTTTTTGCTCATCCACAGGTGAGTGTGCTGTGTGTAGGTCTACATATCATGCAGCTTTTTAAAGAATAATTTTCCAAAACATTCTTCCCTTTGGACTGTAAGTCTTTAAATGCCTGTGAAAAACCTCTTTGTAATAGGAGGGGTATTGATAAGAGCCGTTTTTGGGTACACCTTAGCTGAATCTCTTCAACTCCACGATTTTTTTTTCACTGAAGGTCTATATTTTATGGAATGTATTGTAATTTAGTTCTCTGGTCCAATACTGGTTTAAACATGAGTCCAAAGACTAATTTTCAATTACAAACCCGCCAAGTCCGCATTTTTCGCCAAAATTGGCTTTCAGACCTATGTACAGAAAGACCTGAAAAGAGACCAAAAATGACCAAACCACGATACATTCTGTGAAACTTAAACCCTCAATGACTCAAAAATCGTAAATGTAAAGATTTTCAGGGTGGGCCCACAAACGACCCTGATTGATAAGTTCCCTAGCGAAATTTTAAATGTTTCTGAAATTCTTTATATCCAGACTATTGCAGAAAATTATTATTGTTTATTGTATCTGTTGTATAGGTTTGTCTCTTCCCTCTGTCATGCATTTCATTTTATACCCTCCTTTTTTTTCAGTGTGCACAAATAATTTAAATTTGTCCACAAACTATCATCCAGGATTGTGGAACGGAAAACGATGGGAATGTTGTAGGGCTTCAACTCGCTACTTGACTGGATGCGAGTCATGTTCAGAGTGGCTTAATCCGGAAAACCCTCTTCCCCTCGATAATGCCTCTGTTGAGCTTCAGCAGTTGAACAACGCCAATCATTCCCAGAACATCAACCGAGTTGGTGAGTACTATTTATCAATTTCTTAACTAATTCTAAGTTATCAAAATGTTTTTTATTTCATCAGTATGTCGTTTGCTGGCAGCAGTGTCTGCATTCCCTGGGCGCCATGCACAAATAATCGAGCTTTAGCGTCTGAAAATTGGGGGGGGGGGGCGAGCCATCGTTGCGCCTAAAAAAGTTGACACACTCTGTCCATTTTTTTTTGAACTCGTATTTGCAAAGCAGTGGTAGCACATCATGCGCCTGCAAGAAGTTTATTTGGCTCCTAACAAATTGAAAAAAAGAAAGAAAGGAAGAAAAAAAAAATTATGTATTAAAATTGTGAAGCTTCTTTTGCCACCAGTTTCAGAGACCGTAATGTGACAAATTTTTTTTTGGAAATTAAAAAATTCTACCATTTTTCTTGTCGTCATACCATATCTGTAATTTGCTAATTATCATCAGCTTGAACTTAAGAGATGAAGAATATTTCGGATACTCGTTTTGGAAATAGGAAAAATAAGGAAATTTTACATTTTTCTTGGCATCTTTTGTGATCTGAGATTGGGCAAGTTTCTGGGAATTCTTCAAGGGTCATGAGGACTGGGCCTTAAGACTTCATGTCATTAAACGACAGAGTCGATTTTCACTAAAAGCCTGTGCTCTTCCTCAGCAGGGCAACACACCTCCAAAAGCTTTTTGAGTAATGCATAAGCTAGGAGAACAGGATCTGAGCTTATCTGTCAGGGTCCCTTAAAGGAGGAACAATCTTATGTGAGTCTCCAACCCCAGAGAAAAAGCAATAGCCAGAATTTTTTCAACATTAGGTTTACTCCAACAGTTTTCGAAAAATTTGGAACGAGGTCAGGCCAGTCTTACATAATTCAAAAGAGGAATGAAAGCTTGTCTAACCCTGCCAAGCAAAGGAAAAACGGCGTAAGAACATTCGAATGTTGCCAAATTTACTCTCAAAAATTACTTATTTTTGAGGATAGTAATGCATATTTTTCATTGAAACTTTTCGACACTATATCATAGATCAAATGGATTGCATTTTGCAAAAAGGAACCAGAAGCATTGCAATGATGCTAAGATTGTACAAATTCATCCTTTGTAGTAAAATAACTGAAATCGTGAAAAAATACGAAATTTACATGGTAATTTTCGTCTTAGATTCACAGTTTTCAGCGAGTAAAATTGAAACTGTCAATGGATAATCAGGTTTTTTTCCAAGACCAAAGAAGTTGCACAGTCTTAGCAACATTGCAATTCTCGTGGTTCCTTTTTGCTAAGTGAAATCCAAATTAGGAACGGAATTCTCTAAATATTTGGAGGAAAAAAATCCAAAAGTTTACCAGAAAATTTGAGATTTGTCAAATAAAATTTGACAACGTCCAAAGGCTCATACGGTGTTCTTCCTTAGTATAGTAGAATGGAGGTCGAAAAGTCGGCCGAAATGCCGCAGATTCTACTTGAACCTTTTTACCTTTTCGGCACTCCAGCGCGCATCCGCTCGGCGTTTCCCACAGCGTAAACGCAGGCTTTCACGCTCGAACGCTCTGAAAAGCTCAAGCTCAAAGTCCGGCCGAAGACCGATTGATCCGGAGCTTTTCCCCGGGGTTCTCGGAAGTCGGGGGTGAGGGGGGGGGGGTTTCCAGTGGCATCGGCATGGCCCGGCTCCGTTTTTTCCGGTTCCCGCCTTATTTCAACTTTCAATTAATCTCAATCCTCGCCGTCCGCGTCTCTCGCGCGTCCTCGCGCTGCTTTGTGCGTCCCGAGCTCCCTACCGACGCACAGTGGAATGAGTCGATAGGAGAAGTCGGAAAAATTCCGGAAACTTTGAAAGTTTAGTTTATATTTTCGAACGTATTAAACAGAATGTTCAAGAGTGGCTACCTACACTGGTTTTTTTGTGAAATTTCCTTCCGCAGGGTGTCTACCGGTCCCCAAAAGCCCCTAATGTCCCCGAATATCCCCGATCAGGGTGTCTACAAGTCCGGAAATAGTGCTGATTTTATAAGGGCGGTCTGGAAGTACTGAAAAAGTGCGGAAATTCCGCAGAAAGGTCCGGAATTTTCTTAAATTTTTTGTCATATTTGTCGCAATTTCAAATTTTTGAAAATCGTCAAATGGAGGTACTGAAAAGTACGGAATTTTCTTGTTTGAGGAGGTACTGAATTTTTTGAGAATGTACTGAAAAAGTACTTATTTTTGACCAGCCTGTTTTAGTAGACATCCTGCCCGATTTTTGAAGGGTGTCCCCGATATCCCCAAAAGTCCCCAATTTTCTAGTTCAGGTCCCCAAAAAATGACAAAAATCGTCCTAAATACCGGCATTTTCAAATTTTCCCGCCAGCCCCGGCGGCTCGGGATAATCAAGAATAGAAAACTGAGGTGCCTGGTTTTGAGTATGTTTTTATCGATTCAACATGACTTGTAAAATTAGTCATATAAAATACGCCCTTTAACGCTCTAACTAGCTCCCTCCCTTTCCTGTACTATTTCGGGAAAAAAGGCCCCGATTTTCTTGAAAAAACACCTCTAAAAGTCCCCGAAAGTCCCCAATTTTGGTTTTTTTTATAACTGGTAGAAACCAGGACCCTTGGAATTTGAATTTGTGGCAAAATGAAAAGGAAAAATTGCGGTTTTAGACAAAAATTTCATGTCCGACCTCTCCCATCAGTTCGTTCCACCGTGCGACGGGAAGGAAATCTCTCATCGTCAGCTCGGAGCAGTGACAGTTGGCCGCGCGCTCTCGAATCGAACGTCCAGCGCGCACCCGGTCGCGTCGGGTCCCGTCCCTGCATCTTTGATAAGCTGCTAACCTCGCCTTCAATCCGTTCGCTCGCTCCAGTTCCTGCTGAGCTCTTTTCATTTTTCCCACACCTCCCCCCTTCTTGACCCCGCTCTTTTGCTCTGTAACTTCAACCGTGAGGCTTTTGCGTTTTTGCACTCAGCGTTCACAGGATGCCTGTGTTCTGTCCATCTTTGAAATTCGATCGCGCTGAAGAGTTCCGTGCACCAACAACGAACCTCACAAATTCGGAAAGGGTCGTCTGTTAATTACGTAACGCTCTACGGGGAGGGGGGTCGCGCCTTTTTTACATGTTTAAGATTAGGGACCTACGTCACAATAGCGTTACAAGGGGGAGGGGGGTCAACAATGCCGAAAAAGTGCGTTACGTAATTTAGGGACGGTCCCAAAGGGAGCGTTCATAAATGGACTGCATTTTGCAATTTGGAACTATAAATTCTGGCTCATCTGAAAAAACACTTATGTGCACAGGGAAACTAATGGCACATACATTGTTTTTAAACCGGGCCAGAATTCATAGTTCCAAATTGCAAAATGCAGTCCAAATGACCTTACGCTCAGGGGGAGTGGGAGCACGATGAGCTTGCGTTACAAGAGCGATGGGGGGGGGGGGGGG